AAGGTTGAGAACCACTGGGCTAAGGGAACTAGGAATGTTTAGCCTAATATACCTCCACCCCTTTTTCTTGTTCAGTGAAATCAAAGGCCCGGTAAGTTGAATGTTTGGAAAGAGAAAACTCCAGATATTGAAAAAAGAATGCATCAAATTTTGACTGACTTTTATTCATTTGACTGAAAAGTATTCAGTCTGATTGCAGTAGATCACAATTAGTGTGAGTTCGAATAGTGCAAAATTTGATTTAGGGCATTTTGGTTGAATTGCCTGTTTCCTTTGATCCAGAATCAATTATTTTACTTTCCATAAAATTATCACTTTGCATAGTGCAAATTTGAATTGTGCAACCATCTGATGGGATTCTACAACCACACTCATCACGACCTACATGTATTTCAAAAACTAGGACCACACTCCATTTGTGGGGCCAGCTGCAAAGAAACATTAACAGATCTTCCTATGGATGGTGCCATCCCTGTCAAGAAGTGCTGATTTAAAGAACAGTTGAATAACAAAACTTGGAAAAGCTGAAAATGGCCCTTAAGCTAAGCAGGACCCTTGTTCATAAAGAGTTTCAAACAACAAATTCAGAATGTTGAACAAAAATCAGAAATAAATTTGCTGGCAGTTAACCCCCAGGAAGTACAGTGTGAAGGAATCTGTTCCTCATTCATTAGTAGAAGATCAAGAACATCTTGGTCAATAGGAAATCACCCAAATGTCTCTGTGAATTTAGCTAAGGAGCAGTTATTCCAATACTCATCCTCCTTTACCTTCCCAGCCTTCATTGTTATTAGGTAAACAAAAATGTTTTTTTAAAAAATAATAATAATGTGTACAATACTAATAACATCAACAAGAGGTACTCCCTTAAGATCTGTTTAGTGTGAGTTCAATAGCCTGTTCCAGCTAGCACCCTAGAGACAATATTCTCTATTAGCTGAAGTGCCTTTGAGGACAAAGCTACGGCTCAAAGTATTACCAAGATATGAGTAGCTGGGCCCATGTCTTTTTCCCTGATTAAGGAAATCTGACTGGAAAAATGACATGTGAAACGTACTTATATTAGCAGTTTTACTTATTGAGTAGGAAATAATTCAAACCACTTTAAGAAACTTTCAAAATTGGGCTTATTCCATATATAACTATCTATTCTAATGTCTGTGCCTCTGTATGTGTTTGCATGTGTGTGTGTGTGTGTGTGTGTGTGTGTGTGTGTGTGTGTAATCGATTCTAATACACTTATATAACTGTTTTTAACCTACTGTATTTTGTGTAAATGAGTCCCATATTTCATTATATTTAACAATGCAAAGTTTTGCATCTACAGGCAATCTATTTGTAAGTGTCTCCAACTTACAAGTTGGAGGAAATGGGATCATCCATTTATTTTTCCAATGCTGCAATATTAGTCTTTTACCTATAGTGAAGGCACAAAGAATCCATTTACATTTTCCCATTGTCAGATGTGGGAGAATGTAATTCAGCTATGTAATTCAAGAGAATATTATCCTCTGAAAATGTTAACTTTTGTCTCAAAGTTAGGTTTAAATGATCCACTACTTTCTCCCAAAACTTATAGGACATTGTTTTAAGGAAGCACTGTCCTTCTTACATCTTGACGATCCTTTTCTACATAAATGTAACACAATTCGTGAAACAATTCTAAATAAACTTCTAATTGTGCTTATGCTGTTTCTTGAATTCTCCAGTTCTCAAGTGCACAAACCCCGAATTTACTACAATAGCTTGACTTCATTGTGTGCAGTGACTTAAAATGAACTTCCTTCGCCATCCCTGCTAAAATAGAAATTAGATAAGCATCTTGGGGAGGCAAAATTCCTCCTGGATTATTTGCTATAGATTTAGTGTAGAAACTATTATTTCTCCTGGGAATGCTAAATCAGGACAACTTTAATTACATGAGAATCTTTTTATAAGTTTGCATTGTGATGGTTGGTTATTGGCCACTGGTGACATCTAAGTTAAAAAAAAAAAAGTTAATGCAAAGCCAGGATACAACTTCTTGGGAGGGGAAAATATAGAATAACTTCCAGCCCTCCTCTCAAGACCTTGTGCCACTGAGCATGATCACCACAAAAGACAAGAAAAATTCTTTATTCCTTATTGGCCATGTGCGACTGGACACGCGAAGAATTTGTCTCCAAGCATAAGCTCTCAGTGTACACACAAACAACAAAAAAATAAAATCATAAGATACCAATAGGAGAAGATAGTAGGAAAGATGAGAAGGATCATAGGCAACAACAATGCAGTACCACAATTGCACAGATTTACTGGATCAAAGCTTGAATATAGTTTTCTCTTTAATGCATTTGGCAGTTTGAACACAACTAACTAGAACCACATATGGTAGGAGACATGAAGATTGACTTTGGTTAAGAAACCCAGTGGTCATTAAGGAAACACCAGGTGCACAAAAAAAAAACATGTGTCAAGTCCAAAAGAGGAGAGTGAGGCTTCCCAAGAGATTTAGATTCACTTCCTTGCCACCTCCCAGCGGTATAAGAGGATAGGAAGAGAAGAAAGACATAGACAGACCTGTATAATTCTGTTTGTTGACCTATTTCAATAAACTATAGCTCTAATCACTCTGTGGAATCAGCTTCTGGATCGGATCTACCTCGTAGAGCTGAAAGAGAATATCAATACAGGTAGTTCTCAACATACAACCATTTGTTTAGTGACTGTTCCATGCCACTGAAAAAAGTGACTTATGACTGTTTTTCAGACTTGGAATACCTACAGCATCCTCATGATCACATGATCAAAATTTGGACTCTTGGCAACTGACATGTATTTATGACAATTGCATATCCCCGGAAGTCATGTGGTCCTCTTTTGCAACCTTCGAACAAAGTCAATGGGGAAGCCAGATCCACTTCACAACTGTGTTCTTAACTTCATAACCGCAGTGATTCACTTAACAATTGTGTCAAGCAAGTCCATAAAATGGGACAAAATTCACTTAACGACGATCTTTCTTAGCAACAGAAATTTTGGGCTCAATTGCAGTTGTAAGCCGAGGAATACCTATATGGCCATGCCAAATGTTGGACAATTTTAGATGGAATATGTCTAATTGTGCAGTACTTCTTTTAAAAAAACAAAGCAAAACACATGTGTGCAATCTTCTGATAATGAGGATCACACTTAATATGGGAGAAAAGACGAGTATCAGTGGATACAGTGAAGACGCTAAACAGCAAAACTATTTCAGATCTATATGAGATCATGGAAGGCCTACGAGAAGACTTGTGTTTAATTGGCTTGATCCTGTTTTTATGCTTGCACTGCCTCCAAATGGTAGGAAGTCATACCTTAATTTTTGGCACAGCATCAGCAACATTCAGCAGTATGCAATGACTGCCACCAGAAGAAGGCTCATAAAAATAGTATGACTATGTGGTTCAAGCAAGCACCTTGAAATGTTTTGGTGCAAACTGATAACCAGCCATGAGTCTTTGGATCAGATGCAACCATACTGGATGATTATGAAACGGAAATAAAATGGGGGTCAGCTCATCAGCTCTGCAAGGACAGGCTTCCAAAGATGTCAAAGCATGGATAAGTGAATTTATTGTAGCCAGGTAAATGAAGCTATTAGGAAAGTATCCAAGGCTTTTATAGGTGAGATCTGTTTATGGGGAAACCCTGGATTAGACTTTTGTGTCCTTTTCATCATTCACACCATGTACCATAACAGATTAAAAGCTACTCTTTGGCCATACAAAAGATGGTTTCTACCTGCTTCTCATTTTGGCAATGCACTGGTCTAGTATCATAAGAAATGCCCTAAAAACAACCAACAAAAATTCAGATAAAGTTTTAAAGCATTCCTATTTTTTAAAAAAATAAAAATAAAAAAGCCATTTCACATGGGGAGGATTTTATTTGAAGGCCCAATTTGAGCAAACATCTCCCAGTTCAGGACTCAGAAGTCTCTGTTATGATTCTGATATTTCTTCTCTATTTAGCTCTCTCACGCTTCCTTTATAAACTATTTTTTTTCTGAATTTTTTCAGGCAATCATTTAACTTCTTTGTATTGATGTATTAGGTCCATTGACCTCTGTTGGCCAAGTCAGTCTGACCACAGTTGACTTTAATGCAGTTGCTGCTAGTGAGCAAATTCCCCAATTCTTCAGAAATAATGAAGAGCATAGGACGAAAATAACAAAGGGAGGAACAAGACCAGGAGTGAATTACTGTCATCTTACATTAGATACTGTGATGTTCCTAGTAACATCTAATCATTTCCAAGGACAGCATGATACATGATGCTGCAATATGTACGGTAGATTCAATGCAGGAAGCCTCACATTTTAAGTTTTTATTGTGTAGAATATTTGGTAACACCTGAAAGCATCAGAAGGAGAATGTATAAGTTTTTAGGAGCTAAAATTGAACCTGGACAAAATTATACTTGATCTCATTTATATGTAAGCTTAGGTAAAACGGCTAAATAAAGTTCATATGACTCCTTGCCATTTATTTAGTAATTTCCACCTACAATAACTCCCTTTTTACAACTCTGTAAATCCTTTAATATGGGGTAGAGTCGGGGTGACTGGATGGAGCTGAGCGTTTAGTGAACGGATGCCTTTCCTGATGCCATGTGGGACTTTGCAGCCGATATGTTTTCTTTGCACCCTAGGAGAGAAATATCTGCCACGGCTTAGGATCAAACTCTCAACCTTCCAAGTGGGAGGTGAGTGTCTTCACCACTAGGCCACCATGCAGCTCACTTTCCACCTACAATCAAATTAAAAATAACCATCTGCCAGCATCTTTCCAAGAGGCTCCGAGTACGACGTGCAGCCTTGAGGTCTTATGTTTGGCATCTTAGGTGGCGCCTGGTGTGGAACTTGAAACGTGACATAAGGCCACTAGGATAGATGAATCTGAAGTCTTCCCACCATTTGATGTAACGGAACAAAACAAATCACATGTGGGATAATCATGGTCTTTTCCCTTCTCCAGCACCCCTATCCAACAGAGGATGAGAAGAGACAAATAGCAGCACAGACAAATCTCACACTGTTGCAGGTCAACAATTGGTAAGTAAAGGTCACTCCCCCCCCCCCAGTGTAATAATCATATGCAAAAGTTTGTTACCTGCCCAAGAGAGAACTGCTTTCTTTATTTGGCTGATCCCTTATGTAGCATCCAAAATATGGATCAGTATCACAAGTTTATAGGCTTATTTAAATCTGTGCAGATCTATAAATCATGCCTACCATTAAAGTAGCAGAACTTCAGAATTCATCTCAGATCCATCTGCTGATGGGAACAGATTACTGATGCTTCTAAGGTTCATGGGATGTCCCTTCTACTGTCTGTCCTCTTTGAAATGGACTTGGTTTAGACTTCTTTTCCATTAAAAAAATGTCCCTCAGCAAAGTCTAGCCAATGGCCACTTGTCTTTTTGAAGTGCCTTGAAAATGATGTCAAATCAGATGGCTTTAAAACATTCCGGGTAACTCTTTTTTTTTTCAGAGTTTGCGGTTCCCTCAGAAAAAAACCTATTTAAAAGGCCATGAATAACGGGGCTAAAACCACTGGGTGGTATTTGAAGCCAAAATGGATGGGGTTCACCCATTTCCTGACTGACATTTCTTTTGTTTTCCCTTTTTAAAACCTGTTATCCCCTTTTCAAACTCCTCGGAAAGGTTTGAGCCCCTTAGAGCAGTGGTTCTCAACCTTTTTAATGCCGCGACCCCTCCAACCGGTCGTAAGTTGAGGACTACTCAACCGGTCGTAAGTCGAGGACTACTCAACTGGTGCAGCACCGTTTGCAGACTGGGACTTTTGGCGGGCTCAGCAGGGCAGAGACAGCCTGGACAATTCCTATGGGCTTTTGAAAGCCAATAGAATTAGACTCTATTCAAGAGAGTCTATTCTATTGGCTTTCAAAAGCCAATAGAATAAAAGGGAGTAGCAGAGCTAAGGAAAAGGGGGGAAAAAATGGTGGACTGCGTTGTTTGGCAACCCCCGTGAAATGGTCGTTCGACCCCAAATGGGGTCCCGACCCACAGGTTGAGAACCACTGCCTTAGAGGTTTCAACAAATATTTCAGTCTAATTTATTTATTGAGCTTTACATTTACGAAAAACTTCAATCTTCATTCTGGCTTTTGACGGAAGTGAATATCTGTGGCTTAGGGTTGAACTGTGGGGTCCTTGGTGTCTTTCTTGCAGATGTTTCATTACCCAACTAGGTAACATGGTGCTGATGTAAGGTGCTGATGTTACCTTGTTGGGTAATGAAACATCTGCAAGAAAACCACCAAGCTCGGAGAGTACCAAGAACCCTACACTCTGGTTTTTGTTATAGTTTTAAAAATGTGAAGGAAAAACTCGACATCCCCAATTATATCAGTAAGGTTAAAGTATCATGCCCCTTCATTTATTTATTTTTTAATCTCCTTCTGTAAAAATACTGGATTCCGGAGGCCGTGACATGTGGCAACTCCAGTCAGGACAAAATTTAAATATGATCAGAATTGCCTGTGAGATTCCAGCCGTTTTGTGTGGATTTGACGATCAAAACTAAGCAAACTTGTAGTCATTTCTGTCCAGACAAAACTTAATTTGAAGGGCAGGTCTGATTATCTGAGTAGTACTGAATATTTTAATCCTTCGAAAGACCCTTGCGTAAATCTGATTTTTAAATGATGATGTTCCAAGCTTTGCATTAATATTGGGATTTACTTGTGGTTAAACATGTAGAGGCTTGTGGGGTAAAGTTTTCTTTTTTTACGCGATTGTAAATGCTTTCTTTGTATTGGCTGATATTTGTGGCATCTGTTGGCTCACGCTGGTATTTATGGACATTTGCAAGACAGATTTGTTTTCTTCTGAGGAGGAAAAATCAGCTCTTTGTGAGGAGCAAATTCCTTACATTCCAGATCTACATTAATTCAATAGCACCCTCTGCCGGTTACTTATAATCAGCAATGAGCAGCACTGAAAATAGTGCTTATAGTAACTTATAGTATATAGCAGACATGTCAAACACAAGGCCCTGGGGCTGGATGCGGCCCGCAAAGTCGTTTTATGTGGCCCACGAAGCCATCCTGGAAACAGTGAGGGAACGGCCCCCACTGCCTTGGCCCTGGCCCAGGCCGGCCGAGAGCCAATATACAATTTTGTGGCGGCCGTCTATGTCATCCTTTGTGAGGAATGAAGAAATGGACCATGCCTTGGCGCCTGCCCGTCCCACCCCCTTCTGCCAGCTCTGTCCCACTCCTGCCCAGGCCCCCACAGGCACCCTTGACGCAAACAATGTAGAGCTGGCCATGCCCACCCAGTAGACCACACCCACTCCATCCACACCCACCCAGTAGGCCGCACACACCCTGGCCACACACACCTGGCTCCCCAAGGGCAACCACAATGCTGATGCGGCCCTCAATGAAATTGAGTTTGACACCCCGGTACATAGAATAGAATAGAATAGAATAGAATAGAATAGAATAGAATAGAATAGAATAGAATAGAATAGAATAGAATAGGAGCTGGAAGGGACTTTGGAGGTCTTCTAGTCCAGCCCCCTGCTCAAGCAGGAGAACCTATACCGTCTCAGACAGGTGAATGTCCAGTCTCCTCTTAAAAATCTCCAGTGATGGAGCGCCCACGATTTCTGGGGGCAAGCTGTTCCACTGGTTGCTTGTACTCACTGTATTTATATCTGCTTTTCCTTAAAGATCTCTTTTAGATGATAATGAAAACATAAAAGTCCTGTGCACAGTTTGAGAAGATAATCCCATCGTCAGAAAAACTCAGGGGCCCATCAAAGTAAATAGGGTTGAGATAGGTGGATAAATACCCTTACAAGGTAGTCCTCATTTAGACTTGCTTGGTGACTGTTCTCAATAACGACAGTCATAATTTACAACCGATCCTTGCATTTACGACTTTTGTAAGTCTGCAAAGCAGAGAAAAGCTGAAGTCGGATCATAAGCGCAGTTGCAATTTTCAACTTCTTCGACTTCAGAAGCGACTTCTTCACTTAATGACCAGATTGCCAGTCCCAATAGTGGTTGCTAAACAAGGATGACTTACATAAACAGGAATAGGAATAATTTGATTTGGTATATAAGCCACATCTATTGCTCCCGTCAGGCGAGAAGAATCAGATGAAATTATCTTGAAATTTACTTGTTGAGTTCAGTTTAATATGAATATTTGTCTCATTTTCTCTTAAATATAAGCTTGCCATACTGCCTTTCTTAAACAATAAGAGCCCTTGGTGCTCAAGAGAGTAAAGGAATGGAGAAGCCACTCAATGTGGCCTCATACCAAGAGATGGGTAGCATATAAAATGAATAAACAAATAAATGCAGCTGTTAACATTTGATTTTAATATGCCATCTTCTTTCTGGGAAGGTTCATCAATGCCCGACGACGTATCTTACAACCTATGCTTGATGCTAGCAATCCAGATCCAGCTCCCAAAGCCAAGAAAATCAAATCCCAGCACCGGCCAACCCAGAGATTCTGGCCCAACTCTATTGCAGCTGGGGTTCTGCAGCAGCAAGGAGTCAACCCCGGGACTAACCCTGATGGTAAGAATCACTGGATCAAAGCGACGTTTGTGTCTCTTTGTAACTGAGGTCTAATCTCCGTCTGTTCGATGTGTTGAGGCTGGGACTTCAAAAGCCAAACCAATTGGCAATTCTGTCTAGATAGCAACAGACTGGAGTTCCAGATATTCTCAGATTTGGAATAATCTTAGCCTTGAATTGGACCACAACCTGGACTAGAATAACATAAATACCAATAAAGAGACCCAGTGCAACTCAGTGGGGGAGAGAAAACATAAGTGAGCAGATTCAGTCTGCTATCTAGTTATTGACTATTGATGGACAACTTAAGCCTCTGGGTTCACCTGAATGGAGTTCCTGTGGATTTGACTCCGCTAGTCGTTGCCAACCTATAGGGGGTGGTGCTTATCCCTATTTCAAGGCCATTAAACCAGCACTGTCTGAAGACATTTCCCCGGTCATGTGGCCAGCATGACATCATGCAGCACTGTTGCCTTCCCATCAAAGTGATACCTATTTATCTATTCACATTTGCATGCTTTCAAACTGCTAGATTGGCAGGAGCTGGGGCAAAGATGGGAGCTCACCCCGTCCCGTGTCACTCGGATCTTGATCCAGGGTTGCTGGCTTTCCAGCTGTCAAGCAAAGAATCTTAACCACTGAGACACCACACCAAAAAGAACCTTCCAAAAAGATAATTGAAAGTTGAACTGTGTAAAGCATTCCGTTCTCCATGTAATACCCGGAGAAAGAATTGGTCTTACACACACATTAAATTACGCAGTGAGTTTTTTGCAGCCCTAAGGTACCACTGGATGACCATTTTGTTAAACTTCTCAATAAGGACTCTCTGATCTGCATATTATTGCAGAATACAAAGTAAGAAAATAGCACTTGCACTTCTGATTGCAGAACTTAACTGAATTTAGATCTGGATGGATGGGTGACTTTGGTCATAACCCGCTTTGCAGAAAAGAGCTCAACAGGGCCTTTTTCTCTCTCTGATTCTATGTACACAACAACTTCTTAATTACATTAGAGGTAAGTCCCCAACTTACAACGGTTTGTTTAGTGGCCGTTTGAAGTTACAACGGCTTTGGGAAAAAAATGAGTTATGACTGTTTTTCACACTTACAGCCGTTGCAACATCCCCATGGTCACATGATCAAACTTCAGATACTTGGCAAAGGACTTGTACTTATGACGGTTATGCAGTGTCTCAGGGTCACGTGATCCCCTTTTGCACTCTTCCGACAAGCAAAATCAATGGAAAAGCCAGATTCACTTATCAACCAGGTTACTAACTTAGCAACTTTGGTGATTCCCTTAACAACTGTGGCAAGAAGAGTCATAAGATGGGGCAAAAGTCACCTTACCCAGTGTCATGTTCAGCATCAGAAATTTTGGGCTCAATTTTGGTCATAAGTCAAGAGTACCTGCACCTGGTAGTAGGAGGTCAAGTATCTCTCTCATAGAGGTGGAAGATGACTCTTTGGAGCAGGGGTAGGCAACTTTGGTTCTTTTATGACTCGTGGGCTTCAACTCCCAGAATTCCTGAGCCAGCCACGCTGAGGGGAAAGGGAGAGGTTTTCAAGCTGAGCCAGGCTGGCTCAGGAATTCTGGGAGTTGAAGTCCACGAGTCATAAAAGAGCCAAGGTTGCCTACCTCTGCTTTAGAGGCAAAAGATTTTGCTTCACTTTGTGTATTATCTCTTTTACTGTATTTTTTTTTAAAAAAAAAACACATAAATCAACCCCCCTGCATTTGGGACTTTACTTCTCAGTGGATTCTGGGATGTTTGCCCCAAAGTCATATCCAACAGCATCGTTCCAGTGCTTATCCTATCAACTGTTTGCCTTTTCTTCTAGGCTCCATCAGTATGGACAACCTCCAAACTCTCTCCTCAGATAACGCCACTATTGCTATGCAGCAAGCCATGATGGCGGGTCACGATGACTCATTAGATGGGACAGAAGAGGAGGATGAAGATGAAATAGAAGAGGAGGAAGAGGAAGAAGAAGAGGAGGAGGAGGAACTGGAAGAGGATGCTGAGGAGCTCCAGACAACTAATGTTAGTGACCTTGGCTTGGAGCAGAGTGACTCACTTGAATAGTGGATTATAGCAATGGTGGAACAGTCACCGAGTGGAAAACGGTTGAACCTGCTTGCAAAACTCATTGGCCTGAATTGTAGAGACCGCCTGAGCACTTCCCTTTAACAATATGATTCAGATTCAACAATAGAACCCATTCTGGATGTCCTACTTGACTTGCATTCAGTTGCAAGAATGGATGTGGAAGCCCATTGAACATCTGCCAAGGGTTCCAAGCTGGTTATTTAAGTGAAGGACACACGTTTACAAGGCACATATTGTGACTAGTTTCTTTCCCACTCTCCCCCGCCTTTGTTTTTGATAACCAGGACAACAAAAGTGTTTTTAGAGTAAGCTGTTTTCTGTATGACTGAATGTTTTATGGAAGTTCTAATTCAATGCCTTTTTTTTGTGACATGCGGTTCAGAGGCACGGCTGTTTTCATTTTCACTGCTTTTATGAGAGATTTATAGATGCAAAGAAGAAGAAGAAGAAAAAAGATTGACGGTTTTTACAAAAAGAAAAGAAAAACTAGAAGGGAATGATTTATAGAAATGTAGGTGGGGGGAGGGAAAATCAAACATTTACAAATGGGCAGAAATTCAGCAAAGTTGAGAGTTGAGTGCCCTTTGCAAGTGGATGTCTTGTGAGTTTTGCAGCTACAAGAAGGCATACGGACTCAGGTGAAGCCCCAAGCCATAGGTCTGTGCTTTGCAATCAGTGTGACAAATAGGTAACACCCTGTGAGCAGAATCCTTTTTAGAGAAGCATCGTGTTTGCTTTCTGAGTGGAACATCGTGACATTTTAATATCCCAAGTTGTTGCCTTGGTACAGCATGTGATATTAGCTAACCAGAAAGAATGTTTAGAGGCTTGCCAATGCAGATGTCATTGGTTGAATACAAGCAGGTTCCGAATTCTAACATTTGCAAAGCAGAAAGGGATCCGTGGCAGAGAGAATTCAAACAGAGATCAGCAGAACAGCTATCCAATGGGGTGCAAGAAATCATATGTTCACAATCTCACTTCCCCGGAACTGCTCTCATCCCTTTATGTTGCTCTCCAGCCCACAAACTCTCATATGAAACAGCATATCACAACATATTACAGACATTTAGAAATGGGATTCGTAATAACGTTCCCCACTAGCAATCACTGCTAATCATAGGTTAAGCCTACAAGCAGAGGCTGATTTAAATCTCCTTGTGGGCATTATCCCAGTACAGTGACTTCATTGCCTACCACAAGGCATGAAAAGTAGATATGGGGTCCCCCAACATTTTTCAAGCTGTGAGCCATTGGGGATTTTGAAATTAAGGAAGGAACCCTCTTGAGAACATGGTGGACAAGCTCCCCACAGACAGAGTGTCAGAAGATCTCTGACACAGAAAGGGCATCACCTTTTGCGAAACACTGATTGACCAGAATGCCATCTGCCACCCTCATCCTAAGAGAGATGGTGTCTACAATATCCCATTTACATTTATCTTTGAAAGTCAGGCATCCTTCCAATCAAGACATTGAGTGGCAGCCCAAAGCGTACTTAGAAATACAAACATTACTGGTGGCTTCGCTTTGCATCACGCCGGTTCCTCATTTATTTATTTTTTTAAAGTAAAACAAATCAGATAATATAAGTAAGAGCTTAACAGGAACCCAGGGGAGAATCAGGTGATGCTTTCCATCTGGCTGCAGGCATTTTTTTTTTTAAATGACTGTAGTATCCATCAATATTGGGACTTGTTGACCCCGAACTCTTCCTTTTGTGGGAATGTTTTCAAGCCAATTCCATCTGGCAGCTCTACCATAAACATTTGGCCTTAAGAATGCTTTTGTGTGTGTGTAATGCCGTTTTCTCCCTTTAAAAAGCCACCGGTTCAAGAAACAGATGTTTTCATGCCGAAGGACAGCCTTAGAAATATCACTGTAAAAGGCTCAAGTCAGTTGAGTGAAGACACACGATCTTCCTGTCCACATCACCTCAGACCACAGGTGCAGCTCTAAATATACCCCACAAAGGAATCTGTGCATGAAGCTATTCCTTATTGCTTCTGCAACACACACACACACACAAAACCACATGGCTGCTATATGTTTTTTTCCAGGAAGGCATGGACAATTACCTGCCAGAGAAATGATGCTTCTAATAGACCAAAAAAAAAAAAAAAAAAAACGGCATGGGGGGCATAGTGGTTTGAATGCAGTATTGCAGGCTAACTCTGCCCACTGCCAGAAGTTCGATCCTGACTGGTTCAAAATTGACTCGGCTTTCCATTCTTCTGAGGTCAATAAAATAAGCGCCCAGGTTGTTGGGTGGTGGACAATATGCTGACTCTGTAAACTGCTCAGAGAGTGCTGTAAAGCACTGTGGGGCAGTATATACGTCTAAATGCTCTTGCTATTGCTATTTTTGTAAGCATGTCTCTGTTACAGTTGGAACATGCATCCAGAGTGCAGTTTCCTCTGGTAGGTTAGATGTGGAACCCCTTCAAAATGATCAAGGTCCCCCCTTTGTTCTGCAGCCATGAAGGCTTGGCATTTTGAGAGTAGGCTGGGCACCGTTGTGATTTCTGGCAGATCTTTGTATCATGAGATAAGAAAGGGCAAGAAGGAAACAGGGGCCAATGTCCTAATAAGGAATAAAGGCAATGTGTGCAATGAATGTTCAGTATTTGCCAACTCAGCACCGTCTTAGGTGAAGCACCGTCTTAGGCAGACCGAAACCTCTGGCTCAATCTCTCTTCCTTCAAACATCCCCTCGGAGGCAGTTTGTTGATTTCATTTTGTGTGTGGTGCTCAGGAAAATGTCTCCAATGTGCAAAAAATGAAAGGGAGCAAGATCTCTACCTACCTATGAGCTACAATCTGTGGGACTCTGAGTTAGGAAATACACACTGTAACTTCATTTTCCTGACATGAATGTAATTTTCCCACCCAGGGGGTGGAGGAGAATGCTGACAATGTTTTCGACAGAAAACTAAGGCACCAATCATTTTATTTATGACCTGTGTGTTTTCGAACAATCTGATTCCTTTTTTCTGATGCTGTAATACAGTAGTTCTCAACCTGTGGGTCGGGACCCCATTTGGGGTCGAACGACCATTTCACGGGGGTCGCCAAACAACGCAGTCCGCCTTTTTTTTCCCTCTTTTCCTTAGCTGTGCTACTCCCTTTTATTCTATTGGCTTTTGAAAGCCAATAGAATAGACTCTCTTGAATAGAGTCTAATTCTATTGGCTTTCAAAAGCCAATAGGAATTGTCCAGGCTGCCTCTGCCCTGCTGAGCCCGCCAAAAGTCCCATTCTGCAAACGGTGCTGCACCAGTTGAGTAGTCCTCGATTTACAACCGGTTGAATAGTCCTCGATTTACGACCGGTTGGGGGGTCGCAGCATTAAAAAGGTTGAGAACCACTGCTGTAATAAGTGGGGCAGAAAGTTTTGCCCTCTAGGGCTTTGTCTTCCTTGCTGGCCAAAACTTGTCCAAGGTTCATACACTTTCCTATACTGCAGCCCCCACCCCCACCCCAAATCTTGAACTTCCAAGATGAAAGTTTTTGCCCATTTTACTATCCAACAACAAATCCAAGGATCAGTTCTAAAAATTTCTTTCTCTTTGCTCACAAAGCACATTTATCATCTACTCTCCTTCTTTTGACTTTTTAAAGCAGACGTGTCCAATCCTGGCAACTTTCAGACTTGTGGACTTCAACTCCCAGAATTCCCAAGCCAGGATGGATGGATGGGGAATTTTGGGAGTTGAAGTACACAGGTCTTAAGCTTGCCAAGGTTGGACACCCCCCCCCATGTTTTAAAAAGTTGAGAGCTTTAAATCAATCACTTTACATTAAGGGTTAAATCGACAAAAATTCCTTGAGAATGTATTGGAGTATCAGTGGGCATAAGCCAAGCCCCCCCTTCCATTATGGGTCCTGATATGGCATGAATGTAATATGTAATTTCATAGAAAATTCATTGTAATTTAGTATTAATTCATGTCCATTTATGATAAAGTGCTACCAGATGAGGTTTTCCAGTTGTATTTCCTTGCATTTTTTCCAATGTTCTTATTAAAAAGGTTTAGGAATAACAGACACGGAGAGTCTAAATCCACTGCAGTGAATTCTCTCCCTGGTGTTGTATCTCAGCCAGATGGTCGTATCGAAAGAGGTTCTCCATTCTTAAAGGTCTCGAAAGGCATTACCCATCTTCAGTTATGTTCGATTTATAGAAATGAATCTATGCAAACCCAGCATTTCCTTTCCTGCTACCATGCTTTCCTTGTTGTGAATGTCTTATTTATTTTTTGAATGACAACACGCTCATAACTGAGTTAATCTTAACGGTGATTTGAAAGAAGACAACTGCCAAACACAACTGAAGGATCATAGCTACAATGAGTTAATTCTTGCAGTTAAACCTAGAAGTAAAAGTTTCCCATCTTCTCCTTGCGTTGCAGCCATAGTAGAAGAGCAAACACAAAAGTGTGGGCATGTATGCCCACTCTCTGCTCTAGCTGATTCTCATCATGCTAAGCCCAGAGTAACCATGACATCTAATTGCAACCTGTAAGTCAGCATACTCTTAGATAAGAACATTCTTCTCACTGGGTTAATTGTTAGTTTAAGAGCTCTATAGATGAAGAGTAGTTACATAGATACTGCTGATGCAAATCCCTGTCCTGCTGTACACTCCTTGACAGACTGCCTCAATATACTTTGCACCAACTAGCCCTATGTACATTCTGACACTCTTTGCCTAACTAACTTGCTCTGACTGAGGAAGATGCTTGGATGAGCAGCGAAACGTCTCAGACTAGTAAAAAAAATTAGTCCATGGTGTTTGTTTTAACTTTAGACACTTTTGCCTAGATGATTGAGAGTCTTCATTGACATATTGCATCACCTTTTTGGGGGGGTGTGGCTTGGATGAGCAGTAAAATGTTTCAGACTAGCAAAAAATTACCGTGTATTCCGGCGTATAGGGCGACCTGGCATATAAGATGACTCCCGACTTCAATGTTGAGTCGCAAGACAATCGACGCCGAGTCGCATGCCTAGAAAGTCATCTTATACACTGGAAACTACCACTATTTCCAGGTATAAGACAACTCAGTGTATAAGATGACCCCCGAGAGCGGCGCCTATTTCAATGCTCTCAAAAGTTGTCTTATACGCCGGAAAGTACAGTAGTCCAGTTGCCATGATTCAACTTTTAGACACCTTTGCCTGGATGACTGAGAGTCTTTGTTGACATATTGCGACACATTTTGGGGAGGAAACCCCTAAGGTTGATGTGGCAAGAATTGGTACATTCTAACGACTCTCTGCCTAACTAACTTGCTCTGACTGATGAAGCTGCTTGGATGAGCAGCGAAACATCTTAGATGAGCAAAAAAATTGGTCCAGTTGCGTGATTCAACCTTTAGAAACCTTTGCCGGGATGATTGAGAGTCTTCATTGAGTAGCCCTATCATTGCATTGTTGAGTACACAAAAGCTCACCACTGTTAGAGCATAGCCTTGTATAGAGCCTTAGGAATAGGCATATGCCAGCATCAAGGTGAGAGCCAGACATAATAGCTAAAGCTACAGTCTACCTGGACAAATCACCCCAAAGAAGACACAAACGGATACACATTTAAAGAGTACATCAAGGAAAGACTGGACCAAAATTGAAGATGTAGCTTCATCAGTATATAATGTTAAAGGGAGCATTAATTGAAGCAAGGAATGTGGTACAAGCATGGCTCTATTGTGATCCAAACTGTGAGGGACACACAGTCTTATGCCTACTCCGAGCTTATTCTCAGAGGCAGAAGCAGAATTAATCTCTAAGAAGGATGTCGCTTCCCATAATGAAAAGGCCCTACCAGGTGCACTTCAGAGTGCCATAATAAAGGTCAACCATAGCAGGATGCATGCAGTACTTCATTACAGCTTTGTTTTACGATGCCATAAATTTTGTCAAATCTTTTCCTGGGGGCTGGCAGGAGAGGTAGCGAAAGCTTAGTGTACAGCTTCCTTTGGGATCTTCAGCTAGGACTCATTAAAAATTAGCCTGCTCATTTGCATATCTGCTGCTTGGAAGCCAGCATGAATATGCATAGAAGCTCTTCGGCTGGCCTCTTCAGAATTTTTTGTTTTGTTTAAAGATGCATCAATAAATGGATATAACCTTGTACAACAACAGGCATACAGCTTCATTCGATAATACTAGAGCAGCAGGGAAGCAAGATTGGAATCAAGAAGACAAGAAAACACAAATAGAAAACCATCATTTTTCTCATCTCAGAAAGCTAAATAATGCAACGCAGTTTTCTCTCCAGTAAGGAGCACAACTCTGAATTTGTATTTCATTTGGGTCCATTACTGCTTAGTAGTGACTGTCACTTCTGCTTCCTCAGTCTGCAGCTAGTTCTCTTAATTCAGGTTCCCAACGGGGGTGGGGTGGGGTGCTCACACCACCTGGGGGTTTGAGACAATATCCCAGGGGGTGCGAAAACTTGGATTTTCAAAATTATAGTGTATATGCATAATATGTCGCTGTTATTTTGAACTTTTGTAAGGCGTGCGAAAATATATCAGAAGCGTTCTAGAGGCACGGGGTATAGAAAAGTTTGGGAGCTGTTGCCTTAACTAGTCAAACTATCCTGCTGTGTTTTCTCAAAAAAAAAAAAAAATAGTAGTCTGCTGTGATACTAAACCATGGCTTGTGTTTTGTTTTGACTTTTGGCTACCTTTTTTCTCTTCCCACTCTACTTGTTGTATAGCACAAAGAGTAAGCTTAGATCTCCGATAAAAGAGTTCTTATGAACAAGGTAAGATAAATCAGAGGGCTTTGAGAATGTTGCTGGATAACTCAAGGACAATATTTTCCTGGAGGAAATGGTATAGAGATAAGACAGGAGAGAGAGAGAGACAGAGAGAGGGGGAGGAGAGAGAGAGAAAATAGTACATGAAAAAAGTGCATGGAGACAAAGCCCTTGTCTTTCTCCGTCTCTGTCTCCACATTCTATCAACACAAATCACCCCAAAGAAGATACTAATGGATAAAGATTTACAGAGTAAATCAATGAAGGATTGGAACAAAATCAAAGTTGCAGCTTCATCAATATACGAAGTTAAAGGGAGCATTAATTGAAGCAAAGGTGGTACAAGCAATGTCACTATTGTGATCCAAACGGTGATGGGCACACAATCTTATGGCTACTCAGGGCTTATTTTGAGAGGCAGAATTAATCTCTAAGAAGGATGTCACTTCCTATAATGATATTTCTCTCTCTCTTCTCTCTCTCTCTCTCACTCTCTCTCTCTCTCTCACACACACACACACACACACATACACACACACACACACTCATTTGGACATGCCAGCCTTCTTTGGAAGGCTGGGGGAATGAGAAAATGCTCCTTGTCCACCCAAACAGACCATGGTACCCACTAGGAGCAATAAGTTCTTCACTCAGATTCCACACAAGGTGGAAGTGAAGCAGCTCCTTTGACTCCCAGGCTCTGTCTTTCTAGCTTTCCTACAAGATTAAATGTTGGATTGGTTTCTTTTCACAGTGATACCAATGAATCTATTTTCTGCACAGCACGTGCGAAATGAAATCGTCTTTCTATCCAAATCGAGATTCATTTGTTTGTAGCATTAAGGAAATGTAGACTTTCCTCCCTCCCACACTATTCAGAAAAACAGGACAACTTTTTAATTAAATGAAAGTTTTATTTCAGTATTCAAATTAGTCTCATAACTGCTTGGGGAAAGGCAAACGGAGAGTACATGGAATAAAGCAATGCCCGCCTTCCAAGATGGAGGTGGACAAGGGAGAGAGGAGGGGGGGAGAGGAGAGGGGGGGGCGAGCATCCCTTGCCTTTACTCATGCATTCAAATGTTGACTATGACTAGAAACCGACAGTGAAGGATAGAGTTTCACTCGTATTTAACCCCAGTTAATGCTATACATTTTAAATACACAATTCAGAAGTGTACATTATGTCATGCAGTCCTGTGATGGAATGACACCCTGGCCTGATCTCCTGTTGACTTCATGATGCTCAGAATGCAGAGCTTAGGTAGGGCAGAGAACTGGAAGAAGGGAAAGAAGAAGAGGGAAAGAAAGGAAAAATCAGCGTATGGAATTCTTCAGTCCAATGGATTCTGGCTTTACCGGCTAAGAGCACAAACTTAATAAAAACTCATTAAAATGTTCTCAATGGTTCGGTTCTTTAGTTGCAATGGCTGAAGACAATCACTGTTGAGTATCTTCTTCTTCCACCTGCTTCTACCTGTATATCTTCTACCTACTTTTCTTCAAATTAGTACAAGGAAATTCGAGTCATCCAGACTCAGTACCCAGATTTATTTATTGATTGATTGATTGATTGATTGATTGATTTTTAAAATTTATAAGCCGCCCCACTCCCGAAGGACTCTGGGCGGCTAACAATAAAAAACACATAAAACATAACAAAACAACAGTACAAAGACAATCATCCAGGGGTTAGGTTTTATAAACCCCAGGCCTGCCAGAAAAGCCAGGTCTTAAGTAGCTTACGGAAGACCAACAGGATGGGAGCGGTCCTAATCTCCGGGGGGGAGCTGATTCCAAAGCGTGGGCGCCATCACAGAGAAGGCCCTCCTCCGCGGCCCCGCCAAATGGCACTGCTTGGCCGACGGGGCCTGCACTAATTCAGGCAGTGTACACTAATGAGAAAATACCAGGATCCCTTGCAAACACACCCGATAGCAGACAGCTGAACTCTTTTTATTGTTGTTGATCTCTCAAAATGTCCCAATGATATGTGGCTTTTTTTAAAAATATATATATAGTTTAATTTCAATACTCTTCATTCCCAAGCCTAAACTTGGGTGAAACTATTGTTCTTATTTCAATGAATAGCTACTTTAAGCTGTGGGGTCCTGGATGCTCTCTGAGCTTAGTTGTTTTCTTGCAGACGTTTCATTATCCAACTAGGTAATATCATCATTCCTAGAAGGGAATGGGGTTTGTGGAGAGGAGGAGGAGGAGGAGGACGACGACTGTGGGGTCCTTGATGCTCTCTGAGCTAAGTTGTTTTCTTGCAGAAGTTTCATTATCCAACTAGGTAATATCATCATTGCTAGAAGGGAATGGGGTTTGTGGAGATGAGGAGGAGGACGACGACTGTGAGGTCCTTGGTGCTCTTTGAGTTTGGTTGTTTTCTTGCAGATGTTTCATTACCCAACTAGGTAACATCATCACTGCTAGGAGGGACTAGGTTTGCTCTCAACAGCCTAATCAGGGACCAACCAAGAAAAATACAATATTCCTACCAATACTGAGAGGGCAAGCCACTTGTATGTAAATACAGAGCAAACTCCACTCCCTGTTTGGGTCATGAAATCTCTGCAATAAAACAACCAAGCTCAGAGGGCAAAAAAAATCAGTGATCTGCAGGAAAAGATCAGCAGGTCAAGCTGGTCTGCCTAACAAATGGATGGGAAATCTGCAGGGAAATCACAACAAAGTTACACACCGAGGGAAAAGAAACTTGGCAAGCTAGTTATTGCTAAGCATCCCAGTAGGAGTGCTAGGAGACTGAAGGACATAAGTGAAGGACGTAAGATGCAGAAAGACATAAATTCTTTTGGCATCTTTTTTTTTTTTTTTTGCCTCTGTAGAAAAGGCTACACATTCCGTGCCAGGCACCTCCAGTGAAAGCTTCAGATGTTAATTTTAAAAAACTAAGAAAGACTTCTGCATTGCAGAATAATTTCTGCTGAATCAAGGAGATAATATTAGTCAACCTGGACAGACCATCTAACTCTGCAAAAGGCTGAGTATTCTGTTCCAGCGGTTACCTTTTAAAATGTAGTCAGTGAGCAGCGTAGGGACTTTTTCGTTGTCTTCCTTCATTGCAAAGAGAACTGAGGAAAGAAGTTGGGACAAAAATCATTAGTGAGTCCTGTTGATGAGTTATTTGTTTCTCTTTTTAACCTGCCTGGGCACCCAGACATCAACAATTCCTCTGCCACATTTGACCTTCATCTTCCACAATCCTCATATTCCAAGATAGCACCCCATCAGTTCCAGATATGGAAGCAAACCATGCTTTATGCTCAGATCTTCTGCAACATGGCAATACTTCAGACTAGGTCACCTGAGACACAGGGGCTAATTTGGCGAGACCAGAATCACGGAACCCATAGCTCTGGCTTGTAATTACAAATCACTTTGAGGAATAGGCCTATTCCGGCAACATTTCGCAGTTAAGATGAGTCCTTCACTTTGTTGGTTCTGTTTGAAGAAGATCTGAATTTCAGAGTTGCACAGAATCACACAGAAGGCCCTAGACGCCTTCAAGCAAGCAGAAACACATTTTACCCATTTTAGACAGGCATACCAAAGTTAGAAACGGCTGACACAAAAAGAGAGAGGAAAGAGACCAGGGCAAGTTGCCCTGTGTTTTGCACAGTTGTAGGTCTGTCTGCTGCCTGGCGTTAATGTGACAGTTACCAGATGTTGATTAGGGAAAGCTATTAAAGGCCTGAGCTGTACAGAGATTCGTGATCCCATCAATGTTCTTAGCACAATGGTTAAATTCAATCACTGGCAAAACATAACACAGCCTTCTCTGCTCTTGGACTCTTAGCTATGGGGGAGGACTGCAAACACACTTTTGGCCTTGTAGGTTGCTGGTTGGGAATTCTGGAAGCAGCAGTCCCCAGTAGATTAAATTTGGCTTTTAGAATAAGACATGCGCAATCAACTCAATCCAGAATTAGGAAAGGCTGCAATTTTCTAATGTGGAATGTTGGTCTGATTCCTTCTTCATTCAGACCAAAGTGCCAATCCAGACTCTCAGACAAATTCCACGTTGCTAGCCAGGCCTTGGTGGATTAAATATCTGAAAATGTGGATTTGAGTATGCATGTGGGAAAGGAGAGAAATAATTGGTGGATAAGTGTTAAAAAGAAATCTCCTGTTGGGTAATTGTGAGCAAAAGGAGTATAAAAGTGAAATGAATTTAATCCATTTTTATCCAGAATGTGGGAAAACAATACATTCAAATCAGATACTAGACACATTATTCATTAACTGTTAGTGGTAGCTTAGATGCAAGGTCCAATATTCTGAGAGTCTGCTTGCTCTTTGCATCTTATTCAGGAACTTTTCATCCAGCCCACTAACTGATCTCATTTCAGTATATCGTATGTTTGCATCATGATCTGAAGCAGCATTGCATAGTTAATTAGACAAGGAAAAAGAAGGGGGGGAAAAAAAAAGACAAATTTATCCTGGGTAACCTCTTTGCCTTTAGAAGCTTTGCTTCTAAACACAAATTGTCATTTGTACAAAACTCGCTGTGTGCACAAAATAGCCATTCATAGCTCTCTGCTCTTTTCGAAAAAAGACAGGGTTTGTTCCAGTGAGTGCAAAACACAGTTGCCATAGTAACACAAAGGGAGACAGATGATTCTCCCAGAATGCACAAAGGACCATCACAACATCTCAACCTTTTCATTTTTGTTCCACAAATCATTAAGTCAGAGTTAGGGAGGCTAAATCCCGTCACTGGCAAATTCAGATGTTTATAAAATAGCTGTTGAAGTTATTTAACTAATCTATTATTCTAGGGCATGTTGGTTTGGTTTTTCTACAACGATTTCTTAGCAAAATATTTTGGGAATTGCAATACGATCAAAAACAACAACTTGTAAGCTCTAAAACAACCATTTATCTCAACCCAGACAATTTGTATGTCGCCCATATTAGTTCACGCTTGTGTTTTTGCACATATTCCAATGAATACACATAAGAGGAGGAAAAGAAATTACATTCACTCCAACTGGCAAGGCTTAGATACCACTCAGAACTGTTCAGAATTTGGGCTAGAATGAATGAACAGCAATGCTGGGGGTACATCACTCCTTAATTAGTCACACTTGGTTTCTCCTGTCATCAGAAAGGACTAAATAACAAACAGAAATTCTCTGGTTTGGAATAGCCCCAAATTACAGGAGGAATGATCCCTCTAAAGACCAAACATAGCCTTAATCCCCCAAAGGATACCTCCCCATTAAAAAAGATGGCCAGGTCTTCTCCCCAGTTAGATGTCTCCGTGCTTTTCTTTTTTCTTTTAATAACGATACAGACATATAACCTTTACTTTCCTACTTTGTGATTAAGGAAATGTTTTAAATTAAAGGTAATTTTCAATAGCCGTCCTCCTCACATGGCAGATCAGGAACTTACATTCTAACACACCCACTTTAACATAGTATAAACTTACTGTTTGTAAGCATTTGCAAGTCCTCAACTGACGGAGGCGCCCCTTTCTTTTCATATGGGATAACAGTGTTCAAATACTGGAAATAAGAAATTCTGGTAGTTATAAATCCTAGCCATTCTTCCAATCAGAAACAACCACCCCAATCTTTTTGTTGTTGTTGTTGTTGTTGTTTCCAAAAAAGACATTACAGACAGTTCATACAATCAGTAAATAAGTTAACAACATATTTTATCTACTGAGTGTGTGAAGCAGAGGTACATGGTCTCGCTTTGTTTTGCAGGGAGGGTAACCAGATATCCTCATTACCAGTCAGAGGGGCATGAAAGACAGAAAGCAAGAAAGATGCCAACAGTAAAAACAATACTGGGTTAGATGGGCCAGGAGCATCAATTGACTATAGACAAGGCCCTGGATTTCTTAATCTCAAGGCTATCTTACATTGGTCATGTTGTTTCAGCCTCCTACATGGGCTGCCTTTGAAAAGTCCCTGGAAGTTCTGTTAGTTCAAATGCAAGCAACCACATGGTTTTGTGCAGGTCTGTATTTGCACATATCTCTTGTGGAACTGCATTGGTTACTGATTTGCTTCCAGGTCCAATTCAAGGTGCTAATTATAAATCATCTTTATAGCTGTACATGGATTGGGGGCAGGTTATTTGAAGGACCATCTTTTCCCAATTACATCTACTCAATCCACCAGATTGGGGAGGTAGAGTATATTATGGGTATCCACCATCAAGGAGGTCCATCTAGTAGGATCAAAAAAAGGGCCTTTTCCATAGTGGTCCCCAGGAGCATGGGAATATCTTGGGATCTATATTTGGGGTTTTATTCCTATAAGTTACTTGGAGTCACTGTGAGTGAGTTGGGTGACCATATACATTTCTTATACATTCATATACGTAAATAAATGAATAAAATAAGCAACAACAATCATAGCCTTAACCTCAGAGGAACTGTATCTTCTGGGTGAAACTATTATGCTCTTACCTGCTTTTCAGCTGCTGAATTTCCAAATGTCTGCCGGATTCCAGTTTGCAGAATATTTGAAATTCCTTCCATACTGAACCGCTACAAAGAGGAGAAAACAGAACTCTGAGGGCTTGTCTTTAGACTCTTAGTTTGCTACTACAGGACTGTCTGATTGGTCCCAACCCATTGGGTAGAGCAGAAGGAGCAGAAGTTTGACAAAAAAAATTGTCACCATTCTCCCCCTATAGATTTTGAGTTAAAAAAGTATCTGGTGGAAAAATAACATCCAGATTCTCCATGGACTAAATACATCTTGGATGAAAAACCTAGAGCTCTTGATATGCATCTAAACAACAACTCCCAACAACTCAATAACAAGAGATGCTACGGGAAGCACCAGTGTGGCACATCCTAATGGCAAATCTTAACGACACATCTCATGTTCTAAGGAAGAGTACATATCCAAGATCCTACATCGCTGAGATGCTTTGCATATATATCTATAACCCAATATAAAATTAACCAAACAAGTGGAGAAATTCCAATTAAAAGAAACCAGTAAATCAGTCTTGACAGTAGATTTGTGTCCCCCCCCCCAAAAAAAAGATGGGTTGGTAACCAGAGGCAATTACTGGACCAGTTAGGTTTTCTGAGAGGTACTCCTTTCATATCTGGAAGATCCTGGATGGGAAAAGCTGCAGAACGGTTGTGCAGGGTGAACAATTTCAGTCGTAAACGGCTAAGAGTATCCTAAAATCTTTCTAGGATAATTTTGCAATAACTAGTCCATCAGCCAGAAGCCGGCACCAAATTCTCCATGGAGAAGAATTCACAGAATCCATCCATTGGCTTATAACAACACCTTTGTGAATGTGGCACAACAATTAATTATTTCCCAGCTCCCTTAGCTAAATGAACACCTAGCAAAATATACATTAATAGAGTCTGTAAGCAATCTTAAAAAGACGCAGGGAGGGGGCAGGAATCTTAAATCGATGCTATTCTTACTTCCGTTCCTCCTTTTTAACGGAAAGCCATCTTCAGGGGATTCTCACTAACCTTGAGAGGCATCTGAGCTGCCCTTTCTATCCGATTATTTTGCAGACTCAATCCTTTTTCTTTCCTCCTCCTCTTTATCATCTCTCGATGTTCTTTCTGCTTGTTCTGCACCTCCATCAGGATGGTGATGAAGGAGTTCTTCACCTCCTTCTCAAACTCCAGCTCATCTCGACAAGCCAGCTGCTGTACCAGCTCCTCCGAGTAATCCTGAATAGCACCTTCCACTCGATCCAGGATCTCCAGAAGTTCCTGGACAGACATGTGACCCAAACCTTGGAAAGTAGGAAGAAACAGATATATGCTTGATCATACATCAGGTAGACCACTCTGACCGAGGTCATGACAAGGACTTCAGCGCAAGGATCGGTGCAAAGCTGCGTTAGGTGCTCACAAACTGAGGTATAAGTGCCAAGGGTCATTAACAATGTCAAGTATTATTTTTCAGGACATTCATCACAACACTCATAATGGATTTGTTAATTAGCGATGTCATTTTTAGTACATGAATTGGTTAAACAGGGATACACTTGGAAATGGAAAAAAAAACACGATTGTCTCGGATGAAAGCATACATGCACAGTCAATAAAAGTTTAGAAGATGCATTCCATCCCCTTTTGTTCTTAACAAGGAAGAATGCCTCGTAAGATGATTGCTTATTAAATTTTGGTTATAAAATAATTTAAATCGCCTGCCCAGTGCATCAGTCAATCAAAATGTTAGTCTAATTCAGTGTTTCTCAACCTTGGCAACTTAAGATGTCTGGACTTCAACTCCCAGAATTCCCCCCGGCCGATATGTTGGGTAGGGGAATTCTGGGGATTTGAGTTCCATGCATCTTAAGGTTGCCACAGTTGAGAAACACTGGTCTAATTAGTGAAAACAATGGATGCTACCCCAGTTATTTTGGATGATTAGGGAGGGGAATTTTCTGCCACCAAATCAAGAGTCCAAAAATAAGACGGTAATCTGCTTCAAGAAAGCTCAGCAGAAATGCTGTTTTACCTAGCAAAGGCATGTTTGGAGGCAACCAAGATGTGGCTGGCTCAAATATGTTGCCCACTAAAAGTTTCCCCAATTGAGAAGATAATTCCACAGTTTTTGTATTTCACATGCATTCACAACCTATGTGTTCACAGACTGCATACAAGGAAACAAAGGAGCGTATTTAAGTCAGGGACACTGACTTAAAAGAAAGGCGCATGCACTGGCATTGAATGATTGGTAGAGAGAGACTTTCTATGGCAGATGTGTGTCCCTTAAAAGCATGTTGTGGTCTTCCTTAATGGGTAAAGCATTCATAGATGAGCCTCTTTAAGAACTGTAGGGATGCTTTTTTTTAAGGGCTTGGTGTTCAATTTATAGTTGGGTTGAAGGTTCTGTTGTCTGGGTGCTTTTATTTACTTCTTTTTTCACCTGGGCACCTTATGTTTGTGGGTCTGAGAAACCATAACTCACCCCAGGTTCTAGGAATGGGGCAGCCTACAAATAAATAAATCAGCATTAAAGATTGCAAATATTGGAAAGTTTACTTCACACTTCAAAAACATAGTTGCCATTTAGATGTACATTTGTGTCGCTGTTCTGAGGTGAACTTCTGACATGTTGGAGGTTCAGACTTCTGAATAAATAGAGAGAACAAAATTAACGTCTTTCTTTCCCCTTTCCCCCGCCCTCAAAACTGGGGGATAAAAGGCAGAATATGGATGTCCTTTTTCTGCTCCTCTCAAAGTGGGCAAAAAGTATGTTTAAGATATTTTCCCAGCTCCTGAAGAAAACTACTAAAGAAACCCCTTCTTCCTTGAGAAAGATGCCAGCAGAATCAGCAGAACAACTAAATAATCCCATATCGTGACTAAGAAATTGAGTAGATTTCATCCATCACAGCAACAATGTCTTGGTGCAATAACCTGAGGAAGAGAAGATACAGTGCAGCTATATTTTAGGTCCTATTTCATAAAAGTTTGAAAGAGAAGAGGGTAGAGCTGTATTGCTTTTTATCCTGATTTTAATTTTGTTTGTTTGGCTATTTGTCACTCCTTTCCTGCACTTGCATCACCAAAGCAACAGAAACATTAGAGAATACAGCATGATTAAAAAAAAAACAATCTTCATTGAAAAGATTGTATGGTGCAAATCTGGTTTCAAAGGAAAGGACCCATAAGAAAGTCATTGGGATCTTGATGAGAATAGAATAGAATAGAATAGAATAGAATAGAATAGAATAGAATAGAATAGAATAGAATAGAATAGAATAGAATAGAATAGGTTTATTTCTGTCTGCTTTGAGAGCGAGGAGAGGAGAGGAGAGGGAAAAAGAGAAGGAGGAGAAGGAGAAGAGGATTTTTTTTCTGCAAATCCATATCCTTACTTTCTTTTTTTCACTGATGCAATTCAACTTCAGGGTAGACAATGCATGATAACCACAATAGATCTGCATATCACAGAGATGAGCCGTTGTCACCAGAATTAGGTAGTTTATAAACAACAAGACAGCCAAAGGGAAATATTCACAGCCACACAACAGAAAGAGGTCTATCTCTGCTAAATGTCTCATTGAGTTTTGTACCCCTGATTGTTTGGCTTCTGGAATCATACAATCCTAGTTCCATCACCCCATTCACCTCCTCCCCATCTGAGTAAAAAGATGTGAGCTTTTTCACACAGCTGAATCAACATCACCCCGAACTGGATCACTTGAAGTTGCAGATGGGGAATCTGATATTTGGTATATCACACGTTTGCTTAATGTTTTTCCTGCAAGCCTTACTGTTCATACAATACATGCATACCTATATTTGTAAATACGTGGGTATACGCATTAGCTACCCTCTCAGGCAGAACAATCTGAATTCCTTTGCTGCAGTCTGAAATGGTACAGCCCAGGGAAAACCTGCAGTGACAGTTATACAAACTAGCTGTCAAAGGACAAAAATACTTTGCTGAGAGAGAAGACGTGTTCCTTTCAATGCGCCACATGTTCTTACCTTCGCATGACCAATTGTTGTTCAGGCTTTGCGACAAGGCCTGAATTTCCTGCAAAAGGACCGAATCGGCCTGACTGCTTGTGTCCCCACCATCATCCTTCTCTAAAATTTCTTCTTCCTCTTCAGGGTCAGGTGAATTTTGCATCATTTCCTCAATTTCTTCAATCACCTGCAAAAAAAAGGACAGTCGGTCAAATCAATTAAAGGTGATGGCTGGCTTCAGTGTGTCAGAAAAGGAGATGTTGCTATGGAAACCTTACAGTTGAAAAACCCATATTCCCTATTGGGCGATAAACCGCCCACGACAAACGGAGGGACATTTTTGTCTCCAATGAGTAAAAATGCAGTCAGGTGTCCTTTAAAGCCTTATTTTAATGCCCAAAACTAGAGCGTGAATTTTTTTTAAAGGAATATAAAAGAGCCACTGCTACAGTAAGTCAGTACCCTCCACAGTGAAATCATAAGAAGGAAAGAAAAGCTCCCATTAGCCCAGCTTTCTTTCTGATAATGGCCAGTCCATGTTTCTAGGTGTTTGCAGAACAGAAGGTGGAAATGTTATTATTATAGTTGGTTGCAAAGCCACCCAGATGTTCAGACTGGACTTGGCATTTTTATCCACCAATCAAGTCCTTCCCAAGGACCTGGGATAGGCAGATGTGGATGTTTGATGGTGTTAAAGATATCGTTGCAGGATGTAAGTTGTTCCGAGTAAAGCTGCCTTTTGCAATTGACCAATGGCGAATTTATCAATGAGGATGGTGTTTAAGTGGTTCTCCAATTGTATTATTACAGATCATCGCACAGTCAGCCAGATGTTCAGACTGGATTGGGCATTTTGTCTACCTATCGAGTCCTTTCCCAGGACCTGGGATAGGCAGATGTGGATGTTTGACGGTATTACAGATATCGTCGCAGGATGGAAGCAGTTCCTAGTACGGCCGCCTTTTGCAATTGACTAATAGCGAATTTGTCAATGCCAATGGTGTTCAATTGGTACTCCGGTTGTTTTGGGATTGCACCCAAGGAGCCTATTACTATTGGTACTACCCTTGCTTGCTTTTGCCACAGTCTTTCTATTTCTATTTGTAGGTCTTTGTATTTTGTTATCTTCTCCAGTTCTTTCCCGTCTGTTCTGCTGTCCCCAGGCACTGCCACGTCCACTATCCAGACTTTTTTGTCTTTCTTATCGACAATTGTTAAGTTTATTATTATTATTATTATTATTATTGATTCAATTTGTATGGCCAATCATCTTATCTAAGTGACCGTGGATAGCTCAAAACGGGTAAAAACAATTTAATAAAAACAAGTTAAAATTAATAAACATATAAAAACTGTCCATAATCAAGTTTAAAAAAAAACAGAAAATCACAATCAGCAGCAGAATTCATTCTATGTCAGTTCAATGCAGCACTGTAAGAGGTCCCACCGTTGCTGGAATCCAAGGGACAACATCAGAGCCGTGTCTTCAGGATCTTCCTAAAGGCAGGAAGAATCACGGCCAATACCTTTCTCCTGTCTCTATCCCCTGCAGCTGGTATCTGGAGCCCTGGTACTCCCAAGCCCGACATTGTACTGTTCATCCTTGCACACACAATCACTGTACATGCACACACATCCAGCTTTGATACCCCTTGCAGTCTCTAAAGCAGTGTTTCCCAATCCTGGCACCTTTAACGTGTGGATTACAACTCCCAGAATTCCCCAGCCACATTACTAAGAATTCTAGGAGCTGAATTCACCTCCTAGAATTGTTTTGAATCATCTCAAACTCCAGTTCTCTGGACAGATTACAACATTTTTCCGAATAACAAGCACATACAGCAATCAAAAGAATAAGAGAAGCACAGATCAGAGCTGCGAATAGAGAGTTAAAAAAAAAACGCTGGCTGAGGAATTCTAGGAGTTGAAGTCCACAAGTCATAAAAGGGCCAAGTTTGAAGACCCCTGATATAAATGCTTGAAAGAAGGGGAAATGACTTCACCAATCACCAGAAAGACAACCTTATGGAAGCCAACCATGTCTACCAGTGGCTCACCCTTAAAAAGACCTTCTCCTTGTAGCCATCTGCCTTGATTCACCCGCCATGAACATTTCACTTCAGACTTCAAACAATTCTAAGTAAGTGGGTAGATGACACAAATATTTCTAAGCCTGAAAAAAGTAATCAAGCATGGCAGACATTCCAGCTTTAACTCAAGCTAGACATTAGTCCATCCATTAAGAGTTTGTGAAAAAGAGGATCAAACAATTGATAGAAACCCAAGGGCTAGAGTGGTGTTTTCCAAACTTGGCAACTTTAAGATGTATGGACTTTTAACTCCCAGAATTCCCCAGCTATGATTCTGGAAACTGAAGTCCACACATCTTAAAGTTGCCAGGTTTGAAAAACACTGGGCTAAAGTGTCCTTGTTTCCAAGATTCTGTACAGTAATCTAACTCCTTTTTTCCTTCCATTAATACACTTTTGACTTCTTGCTTTCTTGGATATTTGCTGTTATTAGGGCAGCAAGTATGTATAAAAAGAGGCAGTACTGCGTTAAATACTCCGATCTGAGGTACTCAACACCTCTGTTGAATTAGCACCAGGAACATAAAGGCAACCACTGCAGATGAAAAATCTCTAATTGCACAAACCCATAAAGACTTCAATTAATGGGCAGTAAATGGATGTAGGAAACTGAGAGGGATAAACATTCTTATCTGCCGTTGGAGGAGAAGAGGAGCAGTGGGGAGAAAGGGGAGAAGAGTGGTGAAAGAAAGAGAAGAGGAGAGGAAGAAGAGGGAAGTAGGGAAGAGAAGAAAGGGAGAAAGAAGGTAGAGAAGGAAAGGGGAAATGGGCGAGCAACACCAAAAGTCAGGTGTATGTATTTACTTCATTTTATTAAAAGTATCTTATATATGAATGTAAAAAGAATGTATGTTAACATCTGATAAATATCACGGTATATGTATGGGGGAGAGTTTGGAAAAATAAAAAAATATTTTAAAAAAATAAAATAAAATGTATCCCTTTCCCTCCCCCCCCCAAAAAATTCTTATCTGCCAAGTCAATTGCAGAACCAAAACTTTTGCAAACGGTGCATTTTTTTAACTCCCATCCACAGATATCTTTGGACTATGGTTCCAGAATCTCTAGCCAGAACTGTTTTGCCCATTGTATTTGTAGTCCAAAACATTTGGAAAATGGAAAATGCCAAGTTGGGGGGGGGAAGTTGCTTTAGGATATCTAAATATCTCTAATGGAGAGCTGAATTATTCAAGACACACATACAGTAATGAAATAATAAATGAAGATCACATCCCAGCTCCTTAATTCACAGAGTTATATCTTGGCTTCCCACCAAAGCTACTCAAACACTTTACTTACAGTTGGCTGTAATGGTTTATAATCTAAGACAGCCTTCTCCTGCTTCATGGCCCCTGAGTGAATAAAACTATCTTTTGCACCATCTGGAGAGGCCATTATAGTCACATCAACTTTGAATAATGCTAGTTGTTGCCAACACACCTGAACTGCTTTAGGCTGGGGATGACTAATCTACAAGGACGTACATTCTTAAAACAGTTCAAGATATCTCCCCCTCCTTCAGAAACTGAAAAACAGAGGACAGATGTCAAGGTTGAACATAAGTTTACACAAGTTGACACACACAGGGAATGGCTAACTTGAAAACAGACCAAAATGTGGTACCTGTATTACATTCCAGCCCAGTGTTTGCCTGAATATCAAGAATTAATCAAATTTCTTTTTAACCTCCCACTATTTGAATGGGCATTGTTAATCTAACTCAGGGGCCTTCAAACTTGGCCCTTTTATGACTTGTGGACTTCAACTCCCAGAATTTTGGGAGTTAGTCCACAAGTCATAAAAGGGCCAAGTTTGAAGACCCCTGATTGAACCTATAACCTATCTGACCACACTGGGAAAACCTGCATATATGATCATGCACAGGAAATTAATAATTCCATTCCACAGGAATATATAGTGCATCTCCTAATCCCATTTTTATGCTAAGAAACTGATGCAACAGATTTGTTTCATAACATGTATTTCCTTTGTATCATCCCTACAATTAGCCAATGGGAGATGGTCTCAGCAAGATGCTGTGCCATTTGTTATCGTGTCATAAATTATCCAATAGGCATAACATTGGCAAGTTAGCCCATAAATAATTACTATTCTGAATGGCTGGCACTTATTATATATCAGTAAAATCATGCCAGATCTCACAAATATTTAGCAATCTGAACAAGCATTCTTATATGGAGGTGGGTAGATAGATAGATAGATAGATAGATAGATAGATAGATAGATAGATAGATAGATAGATAGATAGATAGATAGATATGGGACAGAGAGAGAGAAAGATAATAGACAGATGATAGGTAAACAGAAGACAGAGGTCAGAATTATTTACTGGGAGAGGCTCTGAATGGCATTTCTATCTACCCCATCAATAACACAGACCCAGAATTTATGGCTGTTTGCAGTATCACATGATGGCTTTTTATAAGGTTTTGCCAAAACCAGACATTTTCTTCCAGTTTTCAACTCCCCCAACGAACCACTGGTTCACTTAAAGACCACAGCATTTGTTTAATGACTGCCACAAAAAGGTCGTAAAATCAGGTCAGTCACGTGATCAACCCATTTTATGACTAGCGTACCTTACAACTGTGAAGAACAGGCTCCCTTAAGATCATAAGCTGAGGACTCGCTGTACTAACACCACCCATCTTCTTCCATTCTAGAGAGGAGCTGTCCAAATGCTGGCCAAGTCTCAAGGTCTACCTGTAGAAATCCTATGGGGATTAGAATCTAGATCAGGGGTCCTCAAACTTGGCCTGGCTGGGGAATTCTGGGAATTGAAGTCCACAAGTCTTAAAGTGGCCATGTTTGAGGACCCCTAATTTAGAGCAGTGGCCCCCAACCTTTTGAGCACCAGGGACCGATTCGGTGGAGAAAGATCTTTCCGCAGACTGGAGGTGGTGTGGTTTTGTGTGCTGCCTACATACCACGGATGTGCCTTTGCTTGTTTGCGCAGCCCAGTTGCTGGCATGCGACAGACCAGTGCTGGCCCACGGACCGGGGCCTGGAGACCCTTGATCTAGAGGGCAAATTCTTGTAGGAAAAAGAGGCCAAACTGTCAATCAGTAACCTAGATGTTAAAAAGGTCCTCCACCACACACAAATACATACACATGGACATGCATAGACAGCCCTTATTGCAAAAACCACCACTTGGAACAGCAGGTGTTTACAGCCACTCAACAAACTGCATCTCATTTCCAGGGAACCGAGCAAAAAGTTAGAGGTGCAGTGAAGGGTGGATCAGCATGGAATAAGTTGACTCATTGCAAAACCCAAGAGATGTACATATATTAAAATCTATTTCAATGAAACGGTGGCCTAAGATTCTGAAACTCTACTAGGAGAATAAATTGTCCACAGTTTTCCCTATTATTTCTTCTCTTTTTGACCACCTCCCCCTGCATCTTCGATTCTCTTCAGGAGCAGAGGTCATATTCATCCTGCTGCTGTTAGCAATAGCACAGTGCACCAAAACACAACCCCAGTTCAATTAACATCACTTTACCCCCTCTGCCAGGCTCTTTGGTTTTAACAAAACTCCATCTCTGATTTTATTTCCTGTCTTTCCCAAAGGGAAGATCAGGAGAGGGGTTTGCTTGTACCTGATCAGCCGTGAGTAGAGGTTCCTCATTAATACCGGAGTCATTTTCACTCTTTTCGTTAAGCTCTTCCTCCTCCTTCTCATGGATCTGAAAAGAGGAAGAAAACAAACTGCATGTGGATTTGGTAGCAAATATGGACCCCATGTAGGTTGTTGTTGTGATCTGAGGGAGAAGAAGGAATCTCGCACTAATTCTTACAGCACACACAACTGAGGGATTGTAGCCAAGTGGTTAAGACACTGGGCTTGTCGACCGGAAGGTTGGAAGTTGGAGACTCAAGTACCGCGTCATGGGGTGAGCTCCCGTTCTTGCATCAGCTCCTGCTCATCTAGCAGTTCGCATGCATGCAATTATGAGTAGATAAATAGGTACTACTTCAGTGGGAGGGTAACAGGGTCTTTTCACCTTAGCGTATAGTCATACCAGCCCTATGACTATAGAAGCATCTTTGGACAACACTGGCTCCCTCAGCTAGGAAACGGAGATAAGCACCACCTCCTAGAGCTGGACACAACTGGACAAAGGAAATCTTCACCTTTTTGTAACTTTCACTTCAAAAACTGAAGCTCTGCCTTCAAATGGATCTATGTCATTTCTTAAACTCCAGACTGAGTTTTACTAACACACACACTGTAGTGTGACGTTTGCCCTTCACTGAGCATGCTTGACTGGATTACTTCTGTCAAGATTTGGGAGAAAGAATTGTCCAAGAAATGGGAGAGATTTCTTGAGCCAAGTAAAATTGTCCTAGGAAAAATCTTGGAGAACTAAAGGAGATGTTGTGGTTCCGGCTAATGAAACATTCCAAAGAACTTCCAGGCATTTATTTTCCTAAAAGTCTTTTATTGTTACAAAATGTCGGCACAGACACAATGGAGGGATGCTAGGATCTAAGTTCTCTTCCTCTGAGCAGTTAAATTATCAGCATGTTCCCTCCCTAAATTAGCCGTCATATCTCACATTACCCAATTAGTGTGAAGGTCAAATGTTTCCTTCCTCTTTCTTTCCTGGGCTTTATCCTCAACCCCCCTTCTGCTCTGTATTAACCCCATAATTACCAGACAATTCTACATATTGTCAAAAGCAAGAATATACAATATTTGCAGCGTTGACAGGAGAGCAGTTCCTTCAAGATTCTGCTTGACACCCGTAATCAACAGACCAAAACTGCTATTGTCCAAAGAGCTTTTAAGAGGAGGGATATTTTTTTTTCCCTCAGTGTCAGCATCATCTCCATTCCTTCTAGGGGGAACTGGCAAGCCCACAAAGAAGCATTAATACCTGCTGAAATGTGTCTGCCAAGTCTAGTTACCATTTTAATTTCCCAACGTGTCCTCAAGTGACTTTGCAGCCAGGCAGCAGGAACACTGAGATAATTTAAGTAACAGCTAGGGGGGAAAAAAACCCCAAAATTTGAAGCGTACTGCAGGATTAGACCACGAGTCAAAAAGAGGGTCTATTGTGCCTCTTCAAAGTTGAATTTAGCCTTTGGGGAGTGTCTCTGTGTTTGTTTGTGTAATTTTTCCAAATAGATAAATTCTTACCTCATATTTCCTGTAAAGCAGTATTTTCCAACATTGGCCATTTTAAGATGTGTGGTCTTCAACTCTCAGAATACTCCAGTCAGCAAAGCAAAGCTGGCTGGCTGGCTGGGGTATTCTGGGAGCTGAAGTCCACAACACCTTAAAATGGCCAAGGTTGGAAAATACTGCTGTAAAGAGAGGCAACTTAAAAGAAAATGGGACATATCTCTGCTGAGGCAGCAATCTGGCCAGATATTGGGGAAGGGAGAGGGGGGAGAGGTGGTAGTAATATGGAATCTGCCTTGTTATCCGGAAATCCTTTCTTGCTATTCCATTCATGCCAAAGTCCTCCCCAGATTGCCCTTGCTGTCTCACGACTTTGAATTTGAAAGGCAATCAATATGTGCTCATCTCACCATTTCTCTGGCTGCAGCAATTTATTCTGCTGAATTGCTGCACTGGCCGATGTTCTCAACTTCTCTGTTTCCTGGGGTGTCAATTGCATAACTCCCTGCACAGGAAAAGATGGCTACTGAAGGGCTCCCCAAAGGGTATGGAAGACGCATGAAATTGCCCTTCCTGGAAGGTTAACGTACCCAAGTGCTATCTTGGCTGGTGTGGAAAGTCCACACTGCATGACGTTAGTTGATTCAGCACCCAACAATCTGGAAGGGGTCCTGGCTTACTAATGCCTCTGCCAGCAATGCCCTACATCAGTGGTGGCGAACTTATGGCACGGGTGCCAGAGGCGGCACTCAGAGCCCTCTCTGTGGGCACGCGTGCCGTTGCCCCAGTCCTAGGCCTTCAGCTGGGTTTTATAAAACCTTTTCACTTTAGGCCTCCGCTGCCATGTGCAAAAAAACCAAAAGGTTCAATCAATCAATTTCAGCTTCTCGCGGGAAAAGAAATCTTGCAAAGTTGGAGTTGATTGATTGAACTTTTTAGTCCCACCCAGTCTGCCGTTACCACTGCAGCCAAGCCCAGCCAATGGGCCACGCACAGCCAATGGGCCACATCAACCCGGCACCCGATGATGCATAAGTGGGTTTGGGGTTACAGTTTGGGCACTCGGTCTCTAAAAGGCTCGCCATCACTGCCCTACATAGAACCGTAGAGCTGTAAGAGACCTTGGAGGTCTTCTAGTCCAACCCCCCTGCCTAAGGCAGAATCCTTATTCCATCCCAGACAAATGACAGTTCAATCTCTTCTTGAAAACCTCCAGTGATGGAACACCCACATCTCTGGAAGACAGGCTGTTCCAATTGTTCTCACTGTCAGAAATCCCTCAAAACCAGATTCCTTCAAAGAGTACCCCAACAATGGTTCCAGCCTTGTCAATGACTATTGTAATTAGAAATGCTTGCCCGGGAGCAAAATTGTAGCCAGAAATGTTATTCACAGAAAGGTATTTGAGACATAAAGAAGAAAAGGGTCCAGATAAGCCTTCTAGGCCAAACCACACAGAGAGAGAGGGATTAGGTGAGGGATCATATTTTTTTCTTCTCCATAACATCCAAATCTCCACCACAGCTGGGACACTGGGCTTCTCTAGCAGAACTTAAATCCCTTCCCACTAAAATCACTTTCCTCAACTTGGTACTCCTCAGATGTTCAGTTTCCATGGCGGCTGGGAACACTGTAAAGTTGCATTAAGTGAAGTTGTAGTGCAGAGCATCAATTTGCTTGCTGCTTATAGAGAACAATGAAAACTACTGTACCTTATGAAATGGTTCTGTGTTAATAAACCAGACCAGTGCCATCTAAATTTCATTTATATTTTTCAGATTTAAAAGAAACAAATGGGGGGGGGAACGGAAGTGTCTACGATTCCGACTTTTTAAAAAAAATAAAAAATAAACATGGAAATAGTATTATTTTTGGAAACTTGGGGCGTCTGAACTGCTATCCAAGAAGGATTTTTGGCACGTTTGTAGGTTCTGCCTTGTGGAAAGACAGTCAAATGCCATTTTTACTTTTCAGGTAGCCATTCCCATTTCCTGGACTTCAAGTGCAACATCAGTACAAGCTCGCCCCGTTTTATTTTATGAGTAATGGAGGGGAAGGTAATTACCTCTGTGTCAGAGATATTGCCATTAAGCATTTCGATGTTAGGATCCCTCAAGTCCTCGGTGATGGATGGGATGTAGTTGTCTGTTAGGGCATCCCAGACCCTGCAGAAAAAAAGGAAGAGATTTTAATATAGAGAATCTCTTTTGAAAGCAGAGATATGTCCTTTAAGGCAGTTGGCTTGGCCTACAGGAGGGGTCTTCAAACTTGGCCCTTTTATGACTTGTGGACTTCAGCTCCCAGAATTCCTCAGCCAGCGTGCCTGGCTGAGGAATTCTGGGAGTTGAAGTCCACAAGTCATAAAAGGGCCAAGTTTGAAGACCCCTGGCCTACAGAGTTTAAATGCAGCATGAAGTGTCTAGTTTGGATAATCAGCAAGAAAAGCTCAGAGAGCACCAAGGACCCCTCATATAAATACATCCAAGCTAAATATGTGTTAGACCTGATTTAAGCCAAACAGAACAGACATCAAAACATCCCAACACTTTTGTTTAAGGAAAGGGGGGGGGGAGAAAATGCAAGAACTGAAAAATGGAATAAGAGCAGTTTACACACTGCAGCTAAAAAAGAAATGCAGGTGTGTAGGTGTCACGTCTTCTTTGAAGCAGTAACTATGCCAATTATCTTCTAAAGTTAATCAGATTTCACATGAACACCACTAGAATCCCATAGAATCAATCAGGGGAACACCAATCTTGGATCAGTATAAAACAGGGCTCTTCAAACTTGGCCCTTTTATGACTTGTGGATTTCAACTCCCAGAATTCCTCAGCCAGTGTGTCTGGCTGAGGAATTCTGGGAGTTGAAGCCTACAAGTCATAAAAGGGCCAAGTTTGAAGACCCCTGGTATAAAGCTTGTATATGGAAGGATTCCTAATGTAATCAAGATCTTCTACAAACAGAGTTGGTTGCTTTAGGATCTAATTAAAGACTGAATGAATTTTAACACAAGCATCAGAAAACATTTTGGGGGCCTTTCCATTACCTGTAACCACCAGGTTATTCATTATCAACATTTCTGTTCTTAATTTCACCTCTCTACTCTGGAAAAAAAAGTCAACAGTAATACATTCATCTATTTTCAATATTGTAAGAAGGATCTGTTATTTATGTTTTGACAGCTGAGGAGCAAAACTGCAAAGAATGTGAGCGTCCTAAAGATGTGTCATATCACCTCAGGCCATTCTGTGTTCTCCAGGCTCAGCTAAGAATGAAGTTCTTAAAATCCAATTCTATTTATTGAATATATTTTCCTCGGAGATTAGCTTCTGATTCCATGTCTATTCTCTCCAAAGTGGCTGAAATTGTCCTGAACAAATCAAAGAGAACATAATTCTGTGGCAACGTAGCTATCAGGAAGTGGAACAAATAAGAATGTCAGAGGATCTTGTGCATAGATTTAGTTAACCAATGAAGATTGCTTTAGTCCATGTCAGTAAAAATATTAATCTTCCCACATGTTTTCTAACAGATTCCTAAAATATCCTTGGGAAATCACACATGACTGATCACCCCATTCCAGTTGGAAGCATCCCAATGTGCTTTTTGGCTTGCATCTTCATATTTGTGGGTAGAAGATATCTCTCACTCTGCGTTTCATCACATTGTTTATAAAGACACCACGAACGATTTTATTTTAAAAAATTATGGGAATGTAGGATAAACTATGACTCAGCGAACAGAAAGAGGGATTGTCCTTAGCTCTGATGAGAAAAGGGAGAAGAGCAGAAAGTGAGTTCTGCTCCATCAGCATTATCTGACCCTCAATATATAAAGAAAAGAATGAAAAAGAAATGAAATAAGTTACTATAACTAAGATAAATAGGTTTAGAGAGAGAGAAAAATGGAAAACCTGTCCCTTGTTATAAGCCTCTTTCGAAAACTATTGATTTATTGATAGAAGAAAATATTTGTAGGGTTGAGCTGTGGGGTCCTTTGTGTTCTCTGAACTTGGTTTTATTTGCTTGCAGAGGTTTCTGGACCCAGCTAGGTAAAATCTTTTGCCCTAATAAAGAAGTACTCTCATAAACCATACTAGTGGTTTACCTTGACTGGGTAATAATAATAATAATAGTAAAGTTGGAAGGGATCTTGGAGGTCATCTAGTCCAACCCCCTGCTCAGGCAGGAAACCCTATACCATTTCAGACAAATGGCTGTCCAGTCTCTTCTTAAAAACTTCCAGTGTTGGAGCATTTACCACTTCTGGAGGCAGGTTGTTCCACTGATTAATTGTTCTCACTGTCAAGAAGTTTCTCCTTAGTTCAGGTTGCTTCTCTCCTTGATTAGTTTCCACCCGTTGCTTCTTGTCCTGCCTTCAGGCACTTTGGAAAATAGCTTGATTCCCTCTTCTTTGTGGCAGCCCCTGATATATTGGAATACTGCTATCATGTCCCCCCTCATCCTTCTCTTTGTTAAACTAGACATACCCAATTCCAGCAACTGTTCCTTATATGTTTTAGCCTCTAGTCCCCAATCATCTTTGTTTCTCTTCTCTGTACTCTTTCTAGAGTCTCAACATCTTTTTTACATCGTGGTGACCAAAACTGGATGCAGTAGTGATAGCGGTCTTGGTATTACCTTGTTTAGCCTGTGGTTTAAGTGTTAGCTTGTTTGTCTGAGATGATTTTTCCTTGATTGGGGTATTGTTTGCTTCCTGATTATTGGTGTAGTGTTAATTGTGGTGTTGATCTTTGCTTATCTGGGTGTTGACTGCTGGCAAGGAGGGTGTTTGGATCTTTTTGTTTCCTTTTTGGCTTTTTGATTGTCTCTTTGGATTGGTATGTAAATGTTGTTTATCTCTCTTGGTTTATCATTCTCTACTTTTAGATAGATTTGTTTAGATAAATAATCTATTCTCTATTATCTATCTCTTTATCTCTATCGATTTATTTTTCCCAAATAATTCTATTTGTTTTTCTTTTTCTACTTGTGGGTTCTACTGATATATATATATATATATATATATATATATATATATATATATATATATATATATATATATATATATATATCTTTGTTTTCAAGTCATGGACTACAAAAATACTGTTTATCTGTCTCTTATGGCAGGATTTTATTGCTATGATTGTTGTTACTAAACACTGTTATTCATACTAACAGTATTTGTACAGTGGCAATGTTTACCTTACAAAGCAAAGTATATATTTTGTGGATTTGAGTCTGATGATAGGAGAGGGCATTGCCTAAGGTGGGGCTCTTATTCCATTTTATAGAACTGTGTTTATAGAGCTGCCTGTGTGGTTTTATATAATATCTGTAGGCAATTGTCATATTATGGCTCAGGGCTACTGAGAACTTGAGTGGCAGATCTTTACTTACTGCATGATGGACCAAATAAAGTCCCCATCATGGAACCAAGGACACTCATTGGCTGACTAGTTGGCAGTTTCCAGTCTTCTGTCATTCAAACCCCAAGGGAAGTACAAGTAGACAATGAAAAATGAGCCAGATCAATGATAGCACAGCTACAGGTTCTCTGCTTCAGGTTGAGCCATGACTACAAAAGAATGGGCACCTTCTGAATCATTAGCCTGGTTGGTCCTGACAGTAACGATGATTCAACTGGATGCAACTGGTTCTATCTTAAAAACTGAAGAGTGCATGCCAATATTGTGACACTTCCCATCAAAAGGAAGGAACTAGAATTATCTCTGCTCGGAAGCCAACAGGCTGGAGTCTTTTTGAAGTTAATGGGATTACAGCCCAATCTCTTAAAGACCAGAAGAAAAGCACAATCTTGATCTAACAGCCTGAGATTCATAAGTCTGGGCTAGGCTTGTAGGCAAGCAAATCCAGTGTATTTCCTCAAACAGGAGAGTGGCCTTTCACAGAGCAATATCAGCACCCCATTCTATGGCGTGACCTTCCCTAAAATCCAGCTCTCCCATTAAAGAGCTTACTGGCTGATCTCTGCAAGCATTGGACCATATCTAGAGTGCTATCAGATAATGTGTTTTTAATATCCCAATTTTGGAAAAATTCACATCTGTTCACATGCCTTTATAACAGTCAATAATGTTCTAAGATGGCGGCGCCTGGATCGGCTGCGGCTGCATGGCTCTCGAAGGTGAAAAGTTATGGGAAGGATGTTAAGGGATGTAGGCCACATGATCAGGAAGGTTTTCATGTGTTTGAGCAATGTGGTGGAACTAAGGTAACATACAACATGCGGCTGACAATCTTTGCTGCCATGGCGAGTTTCTAGCTGTTTTGGAACTGTTGGTGAGACCGTTAAAAGTCGTTGATGCTGTTTCAAATTGTTCTGCTGGCAGCAAGATCTGACTGCTGGCCCAGCGACGGATACTATTGCAAATCAGGGCTGTTTCCAAAGGAGGCAGAGGAGGAGAGGTCCTGGGGCTTATGGAGCAAAGGACCTGGATGAGGCCCAGAGGACGGGAGAGAGGCTTTTGGAGGAGTTGGTGGTGGTGGCAGCATTCTCCAGGGATGAAAAGGAGTGAGGCTTCTTTAAGGAAAAGGTGGAAGAAACAAGATCAGAAAAAGAAAAGGAGGTGAGGTTGTCGTGCAGGAGTACAAGCTAATTTGAGGGCTAATCTACATGGAGCTCCATTTCCATCTGTCCTGTTTGCCATCGTTCGCTCCCTAGAGACTAAAATGGAAGATCTGTAACTTCAGCTGGCCACGAACAAGGCGTGTATATCGGAGGTGGTGACCCTTTGAGAGCTGTATGCAACGAAATTTCATTTTGATGTATGCCGTACTTTCAAAGTGACAATAAAGTTATTATTATTATTAATGTGTCTGTTCAAGAAAAATGCAAACAACTGCATATCTGGCATCAAGCCAAAATAAAGAAAGAGAACCCCAAACCCTCCCAGCTGTCAGGGGGTCAGTAACAGATCAACAGCCAGAAGGACAAAAATGATGAAAATCTGTTCCTTGTTGGCAATACAGAGAAAAGTTATGCCTCTGTTGGTGAGTGAGATATTGGATTTTCTTGGACAGAAAGAATTGTTGCTGGTCCCACTTGCCTCCCAAATTTGCATAAACCAGGCACACTGATCATTGTGAGATAGTAAAAGAAATATCTAAACTATTTGCCCCCTTAATGCTATGTATTACTAATCAGCTAAACTAACATTTAGCTGATTAATAATAAAAGCAGAAATAACACCAGCAAAAAAACGAGCCAACACCAATTTGCGCAAAAGTTCCCTCTGCTAATTCATCTGCAAAACTGCAAATTTAGATATTATTATAATAGTAGGTGGTAGGTGGGCCTCAACTTAAACTATAATCAGGACTGGAATTTTGGTCACTAAAGGATATGCTTGTTAAATGAGTCATCACATGACCGTACCCAATTTTAGGACGTTTACTGGGATTGTTAAGCGAATCCAGCTTCCCCAATTGATTGCAAATTGTGATCATGTGATTGTAGGATGCTGCAAGCAGTCATAATTGAGAGTCAGTTGCCAAGTGCCTGAATTGCTATCATGTAACCAACGGAGTATAACGGTATAATGGTTGTAATTTCACAGACAGTCCATAAATTTTCTGGAGGCTGTCATAACTTTGAACCACTGTTAACAAATAGTCTTAAGTCAAAGGCTACTTGTAAGCAGATGGTTTCACGTGCTACCTAGATCCTGAGCATGCATAGATATAGCTTTGTTCATTTGAGTAGGCCAGTTCCTAACAGGCCACGGACTGTTACCAATCCACGGACCAGGAGTTGGGGATCTTGATTTAGGGAATTAAAAATCAACTAATATAATAATTGTTACACTAACAAAGGAAGAATCTGTAAATTTAGTTTTGCTTCTTTGTTTGAATTTTTGGACTGTTGCTTGTTTTCACATCCGCTTGTTGGTTTTGTTTTGTTTTTTCTTTAAACATTGCACAAATGTGCAATTGCATCTTTGGGATGTTTTGTTTCTAATGGACACAATTTTGCAGCCATCTGAATAGATGCTTTATATATCAAGTCAGATTTTTCTCAATTTGGAGCCCTTCAAATAATTTGGGACCCTAATTTCCACCAGTCACACTTTCAATAAAGGAGACTTAAAAAAAAAATAACAAAAAGGAAGGAGAAAAGCTGGAATCTGTTTGATCCAGTAGATGTTCTTCAAGCAGAAAGCACTGAGAAAGTGCTAACCAGAAACAATTTCCTGTGACTGTTCATTTCTTGACTTACTCTTCATCCTGCAGATTCTCCTCCTCTTCCTGGATCTGGAAATGGTTCTTTACAGGAGCCAAGTTCTCTGTTTTGGCATTGTAATTCCGAAAGCAAATGTTGAGCTTTTCATCAAATTCATTGACCAAATCTTCCATGGATTTGAAACTGATGATCTCAGAAGAGAAGTTCTCTAGCTCAGAAAGAGAAGGATCTTCCAAGTGCTGGGCTGAGGAGCCATAAAAATAATGAGCTTTCTCTTCTCTATCCGCTATGTAGCACGGCCTCAGATCTTCAAACTCTTCATCCAGGCTTACAAGAGGGGCTTCCATGTTGAATTGGCAGATGGAAGAAGGATGGCCTCTGCAAGAGAAGGTACATGAATGAGGCAAAGGTAGCAACCAGTCAACCCTGGCATCTGATTATATCCCATCACATGGAGTGAAAATTACCCTAGGGAATTATCTTGGTTCATCTTTTTTCAGGAAAGCTCTTTTATGCAAGAATAGCAAATAGGATAAGCTTTTGCTTCCTGGTGTTTAGTTACCCTAGAAGTTTTTTGCTGCTGAAAATAACAGGAGAAAAAGGAAGGAGAGACAGGAAAAAAAACGATAAGATAACAAATACTTCTTGATAATACAATTTCTTCCTTGTTTGTTACAACTGACACCAAGCTTTTTAAAGCTCCCAGCCCCAAATCTAACCTGTTCATTCTGTGCTTTGCTTAAAATTGTATTATAGTATCTTTCTAGCATTAGAGTTTTTATGTTTTTTTTTAACATTTTCAAATCGTTTTTACTGAACTGTTATTTGTTTCCAACTTATATATTGTGTGTGTATGTGGGGTAATTTATGTCAACCTACTTTGGAATTATTTTTAAGGATAATGGATAGAATTGTTACAATTCAACAGTAAATAAAACAACTGATTCCAACAGCAGAAGAACTAATAATATCTAGGCTCAACCAATCCCACTTTGGTCTCATGGTTAAGGCACCAAGCTAGAAACCGGAGAACCATGAGTTCAAGTCTCACCTTAGCCATGAAAGCCAGCTAGGTGACTTTGGGTCAATCACTAGGAGATTATGAGTTCTAGTCCTGCCTTAGACATGAAAACCAGTTGGGTGATCTTGGGCCAGTCAATCTCTCTCAGCCTAACTCACTTCTATTTTGGGGGAAAATAGAAAAAAGGAAGATGTTTGCTGCCTTGAGTTTTTATAAAGATAATAAAGTCGAGATATAAATAAATACATAAAAAACCTGATGATAGAACAGAAGCAGCAAATGTACCAAAGAACACAGGACAGTTCCATGCTTTTGAAGATGAAACTTCTTATCCTCACATTATATTTGCATACATGGGAAAGAAGAACCATGACAAACGAATGGTGTGAGTGAGGAATAGAGAATCCCCACCTATAACTACCTTATCTCTAACAGAGTAATATTCTAAACAGGAAGACTAATGCATATGCAAGGGTGCTGTTCTGTATGTTCTTTGAAACCAAGTGTGGGAAGTCACCCCTCCCCCAGAGAAAGAAATATTTTTGGATATATTTAAAAGGGCAGAAAAATATATTTCCTCAAAGGATCTTAAAGAGGCAGAAAAGCATGCCCAGTTTTCTTAATAGCCCCAAGTCTCCCTTCCCCAAGCAGAAACCAGCTCTGTAGAAATGCAGATGTAAATAATCCAGGAAGTTTGGAGGCTCCCAGATTAAGAAGACACCTAAAATCTAAATACCCCACCCAAACTCTAAGACAGGACATAATAGGATTAACCCACAGATACCACAGATACCCTCAGACTCAGGTCAAAGTTTATGCCACAGGAACAGCTCCAAACAAAAGGCTCCAGAGAGTATAAAAACCCACTCCCTACATGTGGTCTCTCTCTTTTCTTCCAGAGCCATCTTTCTGTCTGGCTCTCCTCTTCAATAAATTGCAAACCTCTTTTTAAAGCAGTCGCCATGTTGTTTATTCCTGGCTTGGACTGAACCATGATGAAGACTTTTCTTTCAACACAAGCAAACAGTGATTCTTTGAAATTATCCACCACAGCTGCTATCAGTCCCTTTTGGTGAGGAACAGAAAGCAGTATATTTTGCTGAATATTCTCTTCAATCAAGCAGAATGTTGCAGCAATTATGGATAATAACACACACACACACCTCCGCCACAAAAAGAAGAAAGGAAATGCTCGTGCAAATCTACATTTGAAAATTCTGACTTAATTATATTGAACTAAAGTTCAGAGTCAGATCCACCTTGGTGCCAAAACGCCATCTTTTTTACCCCCAAAAAAAAAACAAAAAACAAGAATTATCACACACAAACCCAGCTATTCTCTGATGACTCAACTTCTCTAGTTCAAAGGCACGGGGGGGGGGGGAATCAGCTGCTAATTTATTCATGTAAAAGGAAAATTAAGGGAAGCACAGTTTTCAAAGCAAAGACAATGCTGCAGTCTGAAGAGGGTGATTCATGAGCTGCGTTAATTGAAAAGTGTGATCTTGCCTCTAATAATCCACCTTAAGAAAAGACATTGGAAGCTTGCAGGAGCTGAGTTGCAGCTGCTAAATAATATTGCCTCTGAAGGCTCTTCTGCCAGCTAAATCCAGATTGCCTCCAAGCATTCTGTTTTGATTTGATAAATTTAGGGGGCAAGGGCGGGGAAGGCTGAACCAATTTAATTTCCGAAGGGAACCATTAACTTATTTGAATATTGCCATCTAGCAGACGAATTCATCACCCCAGATACAGCCTGGGACGAAGGCAAAGTTCTGTAAACCAGAGCTTTAAAAAAAGACTGCCTGCTGGGTCTGCTGGCTCCATACAGTTTTCTTTGCTGATTGATGGATAGGCGCCTCAGCTCTCCTTCTGGATTAAAATTGCTCTATTGTCACCACAGTCGTTGCAAAGAAAAGGCACCACGATTGGGCTGCAGATCTGTTGCTGTGACAACTCCCCCCCCATTCGCCCTCCTCCTCTCCCCCCCCCCACCTTGGGGCACAAAGAAACAACTGTTGCTGCCATTTCGAGGATCTGCAGATGAATTTAAAGCATTCTGCAACTTTCCTGGAAGCCAGGATCATTTGAATAAGCAACTGATTGTCAGGCCGTGAAACTCAGACTGAAATGTATGAATTTCCCAGGTGGTCTTCCTTACAGCTCCTCTCTGATGGTTTACAGGCACTGTTTTAAAAAGCAAATTTGGGGCGTTCCTGCTGCATTAATGATCCGTTGTCATCTTCAGAAGGGGAGCTGCAGCATGGGATGGAAAAGGAGCAGTGTGTATTGTGTATCTTCCTGTGTAGGCAGTGCATTTAGACAGCTTCTCTCTCCAGTTCAAGGGGTCAGATTGAGGGATTCTTGCAATGAAGAACATGGGAAAATGTCCTTGACAAAAATCGCCATCAGTCCACTACAAAAGACAGTTTTGCTTAGATAAGATGAATCGCCATACAAATTGAATCAATTATAATATTATTAATAATAATAACAACAACGATAATAATACAATTGGAGAACCACTTAAACACCATCCGCATTGATAAATTCACCATTGGTCAATTGCAAAAGGCAGCTTTACTTGGAACAGCTTACATCCTGCAATGATATCTTTAACAACACCATCAAACATCCACATCTGCCTATCCCAGATCCTTGGGACGGACTCGATAGATGGATAAAAATGCCAAATCCAAATCTAAACAGCTGGCTGACTGTGAGACCCACCCTCGGAATACCAATGGCATCTCTGCAAGAATTACACTTTCGTTCTTCAAAATGATGCTGTGAAAATGTTATGGTCTTTTCACTTACAGAGTGATTACCATCTAGAGCACAGCTCACCCTCTGCACTCTCACAATCATCGAAAAGTTAAAGCATCGTTTTTGTAGATGTGGCAACCACCAAGGAGAGCAGACTTGAGATATCACAATTGGAGGGGAGGGGAAATCACTCAGAATTCTGATCACTGAAGTGGGCAAGCTGCAGGAAAGTTTTTGTAAAGTCTTTGACGTAGTTATGGGAGCATCAGGCAGGATGACAAAGAGATTAAACACCTTTTTACAAGGATTAAATATTTCAAGTATATAAACTGTGGATTAAAGGAATCACCTTGCTGGGCACCTGTTATATATTCAGATGATACTTGAGATAATTTCCGTCTTCCCTGCTGAGGCTCAAGTTTCTGTTGGTCAAAGAAGTTATTATTTTCTTGGTTCTTTTCCCGGCCTTATTCTTTCATGAATCAAAACCACATCATCATCATCATCATCATTCTACTTATTTAAGGCGATATCATCTTGGTCCAGCTTCAATCCTATATTCCCTTACCTGGAATCCCAAGGCAATCAGGAATTTCATGCAGAGTAATCAGATGATTAGCCGAGAAAGGTTTTAAACCAGTCTGATTTACTTCCATCCTAGCCTCACAAATATCAAGGCCCAGGAAATAATTTTTTTAAAAAAGACAAAAAGTCAGAAAAGAGAACTTTTTCCAAAAATTTCTGTTCTGCCCCTTTTTCTTCTCTGCAGAGGAAACATTCCTCAGGGCCAGCATGAAAACAGAGGACATGAATCTCTTCTTAGCAATAGAGTGGGATGAACATATCACTGCAGGCTGGAAAGTTGAATTGTAGCTGAAGAATCCTCTTTGCTTAGGCAATTCTGCCAAAACCCTGAGGCCCAAATCTCTAACATCCCCATTGTTCTGTTGTAGAACAGAAGCTTTCTTGGGAAGACCATTTTAAATATTTCAATCATAATTGCAGCCCCTTGCTACTCATTATATTCTCAGTTGTTTTGCTGTCCTTCAGTTAGTACTCTCTGTTTTAGTAACTGGCTGCCTGGATTATAACTGGAAGAGATGAAGTCAGTTTTGTGAGAGAAGACATTTCCACTTTTAGTTTACATATTTTGTTGTCGGCACACTGCACTTCTGCAGCAGACTTAGCTCGTTGCAGTCAAATCATTGCTTGCTTGCTTGCTTGCTTAGTTAGTTAGTTAGTTAGTTAGTGTTTGGCAATGGTGGCGAAACTATGGCACACATGCTAGAGGGCATACTCAGAGCCCTCTCTGTGGGCATGCAGGCCATTGCCCCAGCCCCGCCTCCCCCCACGGCCCCCTCTCACCAGCAGCCCCCCCCCCAGAGGAGAGTTGCCCTCGGGTGCGGCCCACACAGTGCAGCCAAGAACACGGCAGGCAGGCAGTGGGGACAAGACTCTGCCCTCACGCCCCATCATGCGCAGATGATGCTGCGGGGCATGGGCAAAGGTCGTGGCCACCATGATGCTGTGGGAGGTGGAGCGGGGGCGGTTTTGGGGCACTCAGTCTCTAAAAGATTTGCCATCACTGGTGTATGGCATCCACAGAGGTCATGCAATCACTGATAACCACTGAGGTACGAAGTGCAGACGACCTCTGTGAGGATATACCCCCCAGAGCAATGTCCTGTCTTAACAGAGCAGCTTAAAATCAACACACACAGTGACTGAACTGGATGCTGCATCCCTCATGGTTAAAAACTACAGAGGCAAAGACTCATCAGCTGATCCTGAGGCTGTGTGCTTCAGTTAAAAAAAAAAGCCCTCCCACTCAGTATTTATTTATGGAATACAATTTAAAATTATCAGATGCAGCTCACATACGTGCAGCCTCTTACGTCGCCATCTCACTGGAAGTCCCCTCTGTGCCTTATTTTTGACTCTACTACAGCACCAACCACTTTCACTATTCCTACACTGAGCTCTTGTCCACCTCACTACTCTAAGGAGGCCTCCATCGGATTCAGTAGGACCTGAAGCCATCGTGGCTATTCAGACATTCTCCCTGCCCTCCATGTTATAAACCCCTGGTCTTTCCGCCTCTTCCATTTTTTTATTCTAACTACAGGTAAACTCCAGATTTACGACCACAATTGAGCCCCAAATTCCTGTTGTTAAGTGAGACATTTGTTAAGTACGTTTTGCCCCATGTTATGACTTGTCTTGCCACAGCTGTTAAGTGGACCGCTGCACTTGATAGATTAGTAACCCGGTTGTTAAGTGAATCTGATTTCCCATTGACTTTGCTGATCAGAAGTCGCAAAAGGGGATCAATGACCTTGGGGACACTGCGACCGTCATAAATATGAGTCGATTGCCAATTTTGATCTGAATTTTGATCATAGGATCGTGGGGACTGCTGCAAAAGGGTCATAACGATGAAAGATGGTCCTAAGTCACGTTTCTCAGTGCCGTTGTAACTTCAAACGGTCACTAAATGAACTGTTGCAAGTCAAGGACTCCCTTTACCTTCCTCTCCCACTGACCTTCAGATATAAAGAAATGGTCAGTTTCTGGACAGGCAGCAAAGTACAAGTTGGCCTTCCAGTTAACTACTTTATTTTATGTGAGCTTCCAACTCCTTTTGGTCAGTAGGAGGGGAGAAAAGCAGCTGAAGGTGGACGTCAAAGGAAAGGAATCCAAATAAAAAATTTGCTTGGCACGCCCCCCCCCCATTTTCCTTTATCATCTCTGTATTAAAAAAAAGTCCTAAAACACGCCACACTCCTCGTCATATTTTGGAAGAAGACACACATTTAGTGTCACACCCTAATCTGAGATTCTTCTCATGCAGCTATTTAAGGAAGTCTTACGGCTTCTGGATGCGTGACAATCAGCACAACTCCTTGTCAGGGACATAGGGTTGAAAGAAGACCCCTCACCCAGGTTCAGAGTTTAGGGAGATTGGCATGTGCTAAAGCTTACACTCCCGAGTGGAGGGGTGCAGAGTACACTTCCTGGACCTGCAGCTTTCTCCCCGTCTTCCTTGTTATTGCTGCCTGCTTTCTTATTGGCTCTTTGCTGGCCAATGAATTAAGAGCAGAGGCTGGAAAGAGGTGACTCATTGAAGGAAAGGAAGAAAGACTGACACAGAGAAAGTCATCCAAGGTCAACACCAGGCCGATTGGTGCAACAAGACACATTCCCCAACTTCCCGACTACAAGATCCGTCACCGATGAGCCTCTAGCTCGACCACGTGATGCTAGGAATGGAGAAAACACATTCAGAGAGAAACAAACCAAGCCAGATGTCACTACAGGGGAAGACAACAAGTCAACAAGACACAAGCAAACCAATCTCCCATCTGACCTGCAGAAGCCCCGTGCATTCTTTAAAACTGGGATGGCAATCGATCAGAACTTCCAAAATGAGAATTCTAGGCAGGCAAGGGAATTCTAGAAGTTTAAAACCTCTTCTCAATCACATCAAGTTTGGAAAAAGCTGTTTTGCTGCATCAGCTTTGTGCTAGATTGACTGGCCTGACGGTAGCTCATTGCCAGTCAACATAAAAGCCAAGATGTGCAAGGGCAAAAAAAGAAAAATTGTGTTTCAGTAAGTTCGAAGCCACTGAAAAAGCATCTTGGCAAGTGCAAGATGGCAAAAAGCAAGCAAGGCACTTAAATTGCTGCTTGATTCTCTCCAAAAAGAGAGAAGAACTGCAGCATTGAAAAGGGAAACAAAAGACATGTTGATTTACATATCCTAATATATACCTGCCCATGCAAATTTAGAAATAATTGCCAAAATAAATTATATTATATTATCAGAGGGTAGACTGTGACCAATAAGTCATATATTTGCATAGTTTGCAGTAACAACTGGTGGGTACACTCAAAGACCCTGGCTGTTATTAAGCTGGATTTGAATGGAATAGGCCATCCAACATTTTCAAACCAAGAACCCACCTCATGCCATGCACCACCCAGTAGGAGGTCACATTTGCAACTGGGGAAAAACAGAGCCATCCGCCCAGTTTGAATTTTAACTTCTCATGACTCTAAAGAGACAGCCGAGTTTTCGATCTGGAAATGTGCAGTTAACGTTTTAGCATCTCCAAAACAAAACAAGCAAAGCACAATATAGGGAGAGTGAATTACTAGGGAATAGATAATAGAGGTTTATTAAAGGCTCAGAAAGTGCAATAGGTCTGTTTTGTTTCTTTCCTTCCTTCCTTCCTTCCTTCCTTCCTTCCTTCCTTCCTTCCTTCCTTCCTTCCTTCCTTCCTTCCTTCCTTCCTTCTTTCTTTCCTTCCTCCCTCCCTCCCTTCTTTCTTTCTTTCTTTCTTTCTTTCTTTCTTTCTCTTTCTTTCTTTCTTTCTTTCTTTCTTTCTTTTTCTTTTTACTTTCCATACAATAACTCCACTAACTGTGTCACTGTTATACTCATTTTATACAATATGAGTGGAGAAACAGACATTAGGAGTTACAATTAGTGACTCAATTTAGCAACGACTTATTCTTAGGACAATTCCATAAATACATCTGATTTCCAGCTGTGAAATGCAAGGCTCAGAGGCCTAGATAGAAAAGCCACGTCATCCATTATCCTTGGACAGAGCTGCCAGCAAGTTTGAGAAGATGATGGGAAAAAGCACCATCAGAGATCCCTCTTTTGACGAGTAAAGCAGAACTAATCTGGCAGTGGTGACCATCAGCCAGCAGCAACCTGAGGTAGCTGAGATCCAGCATTATAATCCACTAACAGAGCACAGCAATATAGCAACATAGACAGATGTTATACCAGGGACAATGGGAGTGAGGGTAGCTGAATTCCACTCAGCTGGTGCTCCTAAAAGGCCGGTGAGGATGTCCTCTATAAGCGCTGTCCAAATCATAGGACTCCAGAAGATGCTATTTCCTGATTTTAGTCCTGGCCCAGCTTCTTTGAACTATGAGTTCCTGGTATATTTCACAGTGATGTTATTCAAGGAAGGATGACATCAAAAACTTGCTTTCCGTTATAAGACACCCCAGCAGTAGTAGCAATGGCCAAAGCCTTATTTTAATGCTGATCTTCCAAAATCAAATAAAGAAACCATGGCCTCATCCCAATCTACTTTTGCAGCGTCCATTTGCAGAGATGCACAGTTTAGCTTCTCCAGCATAGCCACCTTATCATCCCTTCCGTCTCACCACCAAGCAAACAGCACCTTGCAGGTACACCCACCTGCTCCTGGGGGGAATCATATATATCTGATCCTCCTTCTCAGAGCCTCCCATACAGGTTCTCACATAAACACACACACACACACACACAGAGACTTCACAAGCAGGCATCCCAGCCTCTTCCCAGTCCTGAAACCACTGCTCTAATGATGTTACCTGCAAAACGCACATTGATGCCCAAGCGTCCTGCACACAAGCGTACCTCGTACACCTGCTCCATGCAGCCCCCCCTCCCACCTCTTTGTCTCTGCAAATAACCCTGGTCACATCTCTCCTTGGCTTTCAGTCCAGCCATTCGAGTACAGATATATTTCCCACCTGTACAAACCCACGTCTGGTATATTTCCCACCTGTACAAACACACGTCCGGTAACCCAGTTGTCACTCAAACAAAAGATGAGCCGTCTCTTCTCTGAGCCATGGAATGCAGCCTTAATCTATAGCCAAAGAGGCAGTCGCCTATAGATCCCTTCCTCCAAACAAACCAACCTTATTCCCCTGCACAAAGACGGTGCTGTCCTCATTCCAGCATCTCCCCAGTTGCCCAAACATGCATGCACGGGTCAGGAGCTCTGAGCATCTATCCTTCTTTTTTTAGAGGCAACAAAATTAACCCACCCCAACGACAAGCTGCTGTGCTTTGGGAAGGGTCATAATGTGGGGAGTAGAAAAGGTATGACCTGCTGGGCCTTTCGCAGCAGACAATAGGAGAAAGCGCCTTTGAAATCCTTGCCCAGGAGACACCTCTGGTCTCCTTGCCCCATCCCAGGCTCCACGAATACTCACCTGAGCGTGCTGGCAACACTCCGCTCACCTCAGCATCCCATCCAGTAGGCCCAAGTGATGGGAGGAAGGAAGGAAAGCCAATTCAGCTAGAGGAGCCGGCCAGCAGCTTTCTGTCGGTGCGCTGTTCCTAGTCACTGGACTGCCTCTCCTCTTTGCAGAGAGCTTGAACGAGCCGTGGGCTCAGCCTCCCTCATCAATATGCATTAACTCCCAGACACGGATGGATAGCAACGACCCTCTCGCTTCTGATCTGGATGCCAGGTCTCTCCAAGAACAGGGACAGCCTAAGGAGAGCGGAGAGATGTGGAGCCCGAGATAGGAAATCTGGGAGGTTAGGCAGCCAGTTTGAGAAAGGCAGAAATCTTCGCCATCCTTTATTCAAAGCCTGCAAAAACCAAGTGGCAAACACTGCCCCTGCCCAGCCTCTTCAGAAAAGAGCTGCATCATTTGGGGGGCCCAGCCCCTCCCACGGATGGAGTCACGCTGATAGAGAGGAATATTCGAAGCAGGGCCAAGGCTGAAGCGTTTAGCTACTATCTGATGGGGCTTTTACAGAAGTACAGTGGAGGAAGGAGCTACAGCATTATACTGCAGAGAGGAGAAGATGTCACGCAGCTTTGTTTTTTTCTTGCAAAAGGCACGTAAACAAGAAAATGTGGGGTAGATTACAAGGAGTGACCCGTGTGATTTTATGCATCCTCTTCCCAAAGGCAAAAACAGCTGAAGTCAAGAGACAGGTTTAGAATTTCAAACTTGCAACTGTTAATGGCCAATTGCGTTGATCTTCAGGAACACTGATGTCCTTGAATAAAATTGGGTACCTGAAAAGATGCTTCCAAATTTGTATTTGGGGCTGTCACAGAGTAGCACATCTTCCCTTCCATCCTGCCCAGAGTTGATCTGTAATGTTTCACTGGTTTGCATGAGGTTTTCCAGAGGCCCAAGATAACAAAACCTCAAATGAATCCAATGAGATGCAGCTCTAATTTATGTTCTCAAAACAGCATCTCAACTCATGCTCCTAGAGCAAGGGTAGGCAACCTTGGCTCTTTTATGACTTGTGGACTTCAACTCCCAGAATTCCTGAGTCAGGAGTTGAAGACCACTAGGCATAAAAGGGTCAAGGTTGTCTACCCCTGTCCTAGAGCATCCTGTGTTATGTCACACTTGTTTTCTGCTAAATCAAGCTTGTGCAATATTTCTCCCTCTTCGTCTATGATGTTTTTAGCAGGCTATAACGGGGATTAAGAGTGCTGACACTCTAAAGAGAGGTTTCTGTGGTTTACCAGTTGAAAAACAATTTTTCTGATGGCACTTTTGTAATGTTATTCAGCTCCCACAGTCAACAACCTAAAGTAAATCACACTGTTGGGTGAGGGTTCCAGTCTCAATATCCTTTGAAGGCTGGAAACGTCTTTCATGAAGACTTCAAAGAACTTATCTTGAAATTCAAGCCAGAGTAGAAATGTACAGCCTGTAAACCAGATACACGAACTCCTGTATAGCTCTGCCTAAATATAGATGTCTTTTTCAGAATCTCTCTTCCATGGGTTTCCATCATCCAATAGAAAACAGAGGGACCACTTTCCCAGTGTAGCATCCCATTTGGGGAATCTTCTCCCTTGGACCACCTGTCTAATTCTATTACCTTTCCCCATCGTGCAACTGCATTTTTATTGTAGTAGATATCTTGTTGGATTTGATGATACTTTGGGCTCAACGTGTTCGACTTTCACTTGGTTGAAAGGCAATATATGCATTTTTATGAAGAGGAAATAAATGGCAGCAGAGACAGACCCAAAAAAAAAAAAAAAAATCACCTACAACCAAGAGCTAGAGTGAAATTTGAATCTGAAATGCAGCACCCACTACAGAGAATTGTTTTGGATGGAGAACAAAAACAAAAATAAAAATAATTAATTGGAATCTTGAACATTTCACACTGCGAAGTTGGGTTGTGGATTACGTTTGGTTTCTTCTGTCAAGCATAAGCATGATTGTAAACGTAAAAGGCAGCCAGAAAGCCTTTTGAAAGAGCAAGATGACAGCGTCAGCAAACAGAAATCTGAGGGGAACATCTGAGTCCTGCTGTTGACAACTTCGCCCTCCCCCAAGCTGTATATGTGTAGTATGGGTAGTCCTCGAGTTACAACAATTGAGATAAGAATTTCTGTTAAGCATGTGGTTCTTAAGCGAGCCGTACTCAATTTTCCAACATTTTTGCTACCGTTGTTAAGCAAATCACTGCACAAATCCTTTAAGCAAATCACAGCTGTTAAGTAAATCACTGCACTCAAAGGAATCTTGCAATCATTATGCGAATCCAGCTTATCCCACTAACTTTGCTTGTCAAAAGTTAATAATAAGAATGGAATGGAATAGGGAATAGGAATAGGGAATAGAATAGAACAGAATAGAAGCTGGAAGGGACCTTGGAGGTCTTCTAGTCCAACCCCCTGCAGAAAGCAGGAGTCCTTGTATCATCCCAGATGAATGAATGTCCAATCTTTTCTCTAAAACCTCCAGCGATGGAGTTCCTACAACTCCCGGAGTCAAGATGTTCCACTGGTTAATTGCTGTCAGGAAATTTCTCCTTAGTTCCAGGTAGGGTCTCTCTCTAACAAGCTTCCACCCGTTGCGTCTTGTCCTGCCCTCAGGTGCTTTGGAGAATACGTCAACCCCCCTCACCTCTGGGACAGCCCTTCAAATACCAGAAGACAGTTATCATGTCACCTTAATCCTTCTTTTTGTTGGGCTAGACATACCCAGTTAACCCTTTAACCGTTCATCGTAGTTTAGCCCCCAGGCCTCTTATCATCGCCGTTTGCTCTTCTCTGCACTCTTTCCAAGGTCTCATCATCTTTTTTGGAGCCTGGAAGTACTTCAATTCAAAAAGTATTAGTTTTTGCATCTAATTTGAGATTAACAGAACGGACAAGCAGCCTGGGATTGAAGACAATAATAAGTTTAATGGGGGGGGGGGAACCACCATCCACTAAGGCTTGAATTTTACATCACGGCTGGTACACTGGACAAGACATCCGTGCGAATTCTGCATAGCTGAAATGAGTCTTCCGGAATTAGACAAATGACTTAAAGGCTTATTGCGCAGTAACTTTTCTCGCTTTATGAGACGCGTTTGAAAACTTCACATGCAGTAAATTTAATCCTTTTTGCCGATTATCAAACCCAGAGCCGCCCCAAGACCTAGAGAAGTAGAAGAATGGGAATAAAATAATATTGGCTTTGTCACACAGCCGGAGGCTAAAAAAAAAAAAAAAACTGTTTTGCCTCATTGATGTAAGTGCTAGATAATCATTCATAAAAAGGAAAACTGCTACAGTGTCATTGCTGGTGGTCTCTTTTTATCATTTTCAACAGCTTTCAGTGCGGGTGTCACCGTAGAACCTAATAATACTCGTTGGTTGATCCCGTTTCCAGCAAAACGCGCCCTCAGTGGATTGATAAAAGTGTCAGGAATAAGCCATCTGGAAATAGATGCCTCCCAACTGATAGAAGGACTCGGTTCTTATATGTCTAGGTAAAAGCGTAACTGAAGCGTGAAAAAAAACAAAACAACTTAAGCCTGGAGGTACTGCAACTCAAATTTCTTTAAAAAAAAGAGAGAGAGACATGAGCTCAGATGTCACAATCCGTTAACCCATTAATATTTCTTAGCTGGAACATTGGAAGAATATGGCGGGGGTGGAGGGGAGTGTAATGCTTTTTCATATATCAGATTTACACTCCCTGCTACAAATTCGTCTTAATGCTACTAACTGGGAGAAGCGGATCCTAGCTGTTCTTCTTCCCAAGCTCCACCCCGGGAGCTCTCATCGTACTTGGTGACAGCTGCTCTGCCCTACAATCCAAGTCCTGCATTTCTACTTCAGCAGCCTTTCAGGAGCGTGTCAGCCCTCCTCCGAGCCCTTATATAGGCTATAAAACAACCAACTTTGCCGATTAATCCCGGACAAGGATTTTCACACCGTTCTGGATCCAGATCAGCTGTCCTGTGCTTTCTGGGTCGCCAGGTCATCTAGGCTAGCGAAATTCAGCTCCTTACTGTCAACGGGACCAGAGCTTAAGTTAGGACCAAGGACATCCAAGCTGAAAGCAGGAGCCTGAAAACTATCATCCCCGCCTGCTGAAGAGCTTCTGTTCATAAATGTCGCCATGTGTCTCAGCAGCTGCTTTGGGTTCTTTTTGGCAAAGGCTTCCAATTCTAGACAGAGCAGAAAGAAAGAAAGAAAGAAATTCAAACAGGAGAATTATCTATAATATGAGCAGGCTTTGAAAAAACAAGCTCAACATCCGGCATAGGATGCGTATAGACGGTCCTTGACGTAGGATTGCAATTGAGCCCAAAATTTCCAGTGCTAAGCAAGGCAGTTGTTAAGCGAGTTGCACCCCATTTTTACAACCTTTTTGCCAGCTGTTAAGCAAATTGTTGCTGTTGTTAAGTGGTTTTTGTTAAGCGAATCTGGTTCCCCCCCTCTCCCCCCCCCCCCGTGACTTGGCTTGTCAGAAACCGGCTGGAAAGGTTACAAATGGTGATCAGATGAGCCCAGGACAGCACAACTGTCATAAATAAAGGCCAGTTGCCAAGCACTCCAATTTTGATCACGTGGCCGTGAGGATGCTGCAGCTGTCCTAAGTATGAAAACCAGTCATAGGTCACTTTTGTCCAATGCTGTTGTAACTTCGGTCACTCGACAAATGGATGTTAAGTCGAGGACTTAATGTGTACAGACATCTGGTTTGTGTCATGGTTCCGACAGTTGTTTACCTTAAAGAATCTTTATTTTGAATAGCATAATATCGGCACTGCATAATCAAAGCCAAAAACTGAATTCCCCTCCCCTGGGCTCATAATATCAAATCACAATTCCCTCCTCCAATTAACAGTTATAAATCACATTTCCCAATTAGCTTGAAGTGTGGGCCTCCTCTCCAGTTCTCCAGCCCACCAAGTCCTTATCAGCTCTGGTTACAGTAACCTTGTTTCTCACACTAGGCTTGGTGTTATTATGTTTAGCTGGACTCTCGTTCACATCCCCCCTCCCAGCATCACTTAACTCTAAAAGCAAAAGGTAAAAGATGGCTACATTTCCATCTGTTGCCGATGAAAAAACATCTGACGTTAGCAGCGTTGACATCAAGCTGCTAGTGCTCTTTCCAATTTAGCATCCTTCTGATATATGAGATTGTAGTCCAATTAACCCTAGCCACAAGATCAAGCACTATGAATTTCTGAGATTATAGTCCAAGGATGGGATTGGGGGATAAATTCAATGAAGAATTGGGTACGTTAAATTTAAGAGAAGAGAAGACACAATAGAAGTCTTCCAATGCTGGAACAACAGCAAGGAGGATTTTCCATAGTGCCCGAGGACAAGACAAGAATCAACTTGTGGAAGCTTCTCCCAATAAGATGAACCCAAACTCCACCAAGAGAAAGAGAAAGATTTCCCTGTTCAGTCGTGTCTGACTAACTCCGTTTCTCACCCAAGGGAGCCAGCGTTGTCCAAAGACATGTTCTGTGATTATGTGGCCAAAGGAGCATGGAACGCTGTTACCTTCCCATTGAAGTGGTACCTATTTATCTACTCACATTTGCATGCTTTCGAACTGCGAAGGTGGGCAGGAGCTGGAGCAAGGAACGAGAGCTCACCCCATTGCACAGCACTTGGGTCTCGAACCAGGGCTATCAGCTCTCCAGCTGACAAACTCAGCATCTTTAACCCCTGAGCCATTTCTCCCTCCCCCCCCTCTCTCTCTCACACACACACACACACACACAAACACAAACACACACACACACGAATAAGGAGGAATTTTCTTGGCCATGAAAGAGCTATTAACTACTAGTGACACGATCTGCCTCCTGGATTCATGGCTGCTCCATTTGGTTTTCCAGCAAAGGCTGGACAGTCATTGGCCCAGGATGGCCTGAGAATACCTGTCCTAGGTGTGGGGGTTGATCTAGAACAATGATGGCGAACCTTTTAGAGACCGAGTGCCCAAACTGCAACCCAAAACCCACTTATTTATCGCCGGGTGCCAGGTGGACGTGGCCCACTGAGTGGGCATGACTGTGGTGGTCATGGCAGATTGGGTGGGTGTGGCTAAGGTAGGCGTGATCACCTCGATGTTGCTCATGGGGCGGGACGCCTGTGGGGGCCGGGCAGGGTTGGGGGAGATCTAGAGGGTCTCTGACAGGTGGGGCGGTGGGCAGGAGGCCTTGTCCTGCGGGGTGAGGCGAGGCAAAGTGAGGCAGGGTGGGGGTGCCATTGTCACAGGGCAAGGGGAGGCAGGGGCTGGGGTGGCTACTGCCTGATACCATCGGCCCCTGCACACAGAGGCCAGCGAGCGCATGGGTGCTGGGATGCATCCGGCCATGTGGGACCTCAGCGAGTTAGCAGGCGGCTGGTTGAAGAGGGACGGTTGCCATCTCCGGGGCATGGTGCGCACGTGCCCACAGAGAGGGCTCTGTGTGCCGCCTCTGGCACGCGTGCCATAGATTCGCCACCACTGATCTAGAAGACTTACCAAGTCTTCAACCCTATGATTCACCCACCTTTTAAAACAAAACCAGAATCGGAAATGGTCTTTTGCTGTGTTTTCCAGATGTTGAAAAGCCGTAAGAATATAGCCACGTACAAATCATTGAGCACTGCAATGACCTGCTGCCTCCGATTGCACTCTCTGAAAAGACACATTACAAGACATTTACATCCAGCACCACCACCACCTCCCTACGGTTATCAGTGGGTCATTTATTCCAAAGGCTTAATGTTCCTTGAGCTGTCTGGGGTTCTTCTCTTTTTCTGAAATGAACACTTTTCTGCTTCAGCAAACCTTTTAAACTTTCCTTCAGGGCCCCGGCCCGTAGATGGCGCAGTTTGGCTACGTAAGAATTCACATTTGTTTTCCGTGTTTAGAGGACTGAATGTGGAAAATATAGAGACTTGCGTGCTTGTTTTTAACTGCAAGAAGACTTAAAGCAGTGGTTCTCAACCTGTGGGTCGGGACCCCATTTGGGGTCAAACGACCATTTCACGGGGGTCGCCAAACAACGCAGTCCGCCATTTTTCCTCCCTTTTCCTTAGCTGTGCTACTCCCTTTTATTCTATTGGCTTTTGAAAGCCAATAGAATGGACTCTCTTGAATAGAGTCTAATTCTATTGGCTTTCAAAAGCCAATAGGAATTGTCCAGGCTGTCTCTGCCCTGCTGAGCCCGCCAAAAGTCCCATTCTGCAAACGGTGCTGCACCAGTTGAGTAGTCCTCGACTTACGACCGGTTGAGTAGTCCTCGACTTACGACCGGTTGGGGGTTGCGGCATTAAAAAGGTTGAGAACCACTGACTTAAAGGATGTACTTGTACTTTAAACAAATGATAAGAGACTATTTTGCTTTTCTCTGGGCTGTGAACCGGTTTAAGAATCTTTTTACTGATAATAAATTAAAGAAGTTAATTTTATCTTAACTTCTGTCTCTTAGAAAAGAACACAGAATAATAGAATTGGAAGGGACCTCAGAGATCTTCTAGTCCAACCCCCTGCTCTCATTTGAAGATGGCCTAATGCATTAAAAGCTGACAAAGGCGCAAAGAGAGCCATGGCAGTGGCATCCATGATGCTGATATAATGTCTGATACATACATGTATCGTGGCACAAGCATGTAAAGTCACAGCACAGGCGTGATGACAACCTAGAACTAAGGGGAAACTTCCTGACAGTGAGAAAAAATGAATCAGTGGAACAACCTGCCTCCAGAAGCGGTGAATGCTCCAACACTGGAAGTTTTTAAGAAGAGATTGGACAGCCATTTGTCTGAAATGGTATAGGGTTTCCTGCCTGAGCAGGGGGTTGGACTAGAAGGCCTCCAAGGTCCCAATTATTGTTATTGTTATATGTCCCATCAACATCCAAAGCCCCAGATGAACTCACCTGGAAAGGCGTTCCTCCCTCAAAACCTGAATGACAATACGGGTAATATTGATAGACATCACACAGAAAGGAAAATTCTGGAAAAAAAACAAACAAACAAAAAACTACATTTTTAAAAGAGCCCTGCCTACAACAAGACTCCAAAGGCAATCCCTTTGGCTTTGCTAGAGATAAAAACAGCTGGCATGTTTCAAATCAGGGTTTATCAAATTTGACAAGTTTTAAGCTGGCTGGATTTCAACTCCCGTCCAGCTTCGACCTGCCCACTTTGAAAAAGCGTTATTTTAAATGATCAGCCCGAAAGCTTCCGTTTTCAGCACGGGCGTACACCACCACCACCGCTCTTTCAAAAGGACAATCTGAAGACGGAAGCCAAGAAAACGAGGAAACGTACCTGAACTTCATGATGGGACAGCTTGAAAATTTCTCTAGCTACAGGTAATATCCGAGAATCCATCACAAAATAAAGGGTTTGCATCAGTCCCAGCAGCCCTGCTCCACGTAGATCTGTGCCGGGATCCATTCCTTATGTGGGTAGAAGACATTAAAGTCACACCAAGAAATGCTCTTGTGTATATTAAGCAAGCTTCCAGACAGTAAATTGCTGAGTCGGACACTTGAGATATAGCTGGCATTAAAGTAGCCTGACAAAAACGTCATGCTCTTCCTCATAAGGTGCCACTGAAATATAGACAGTCCTCAACTTACTTCGTTTAGTAACAACTCAAAAGTTACAACGGCACTGAAAAAAGCGACTTATCATCGTTTGTCACACTTAATGACTGTTGCAGCCTCCCCAGGGTCATGTGATCAAAATCCAGACACTGGGCAACTGATTCATACTTATGACCGTCGCAGTGTCCCGGGATCATGTGATCACCTCCTGCGATCTTATGACAAGCAAAGTCAACGGGAGAAGCTCTTACTAACTTAACAACTGCAGGGATTCCCTTAACAACAGTGGCAAAAAGGTCATAAAATGGGGCAAAACTCACTTAACTAAGGTCTCCTTTGGCAACAGAAATTTTGGACTTGGTTGGGGGCATACCTTGAGGACTAGGCAGCTTCAAAAATTATCTCCTATACAGCTTCAAAAATTATGTCCAGCTGCAAACATTGCCTATTAATTATTCTAAAGCAGGGGTCTTCATACTTAGCCCTTTTATGACTTGTGGACTTCAATTCCCAGAATTCCTCAGCCAGCATGCCTGGCTGAGGAATTCTGGGAGTTGAAGTCCACAAGTCATAAAAGGGCCAAGTATGAAGACCCCTGTTCTAAAGCTATTAGAGACCAAGAGAATGGCCTGGAAAATGTTTTCTTACTGGATCTACAAAGGAGGCTTGTTAAAGCCTTGGAGAAACATGCAATGAGTAAAGAAATCAAACCATGCACACCAAAGCAATGTGACAGAATTAAAGACGAAGATAGTTAGAAATAAAAGGAAGTAATATAAAGTCGGCTGATTTGATCAACGTTAAAATAAGGCTCTTTTTTGCAATGTTCGAGCAGCTCTTTGTGGGCTTTTTGCTGACAACAGGGTTGAAAAATTGATGGTTTATGGATCTGTTTAGAGATAAGGGGATGGGCTATGGCAGGGGTAGGCAACCTTGGCTCTTTTATGACTTGTGGACTTCATCTCCCAGAATTCCTGAGCCAACATGGCTCAGTTTGGAAACCTCTCCCTTTCCCCTCAGCATGGCTGGCTCAGGAATTCTGGGAGTTGAAGCCATAAAAGAGCCAAGGTTGCCTACCCCTGGGCTATGGGAAGAAGAGATATCAGTTGTGACATTACGAGTTAGTGTGCTGTAAAAGGACACCTCGCATGTATGTGTGGGATGATGTGGGGGTTGTATTTAGCTTAAAGACTTTTGTTCAGGTAGGTAAGTTGGTAGGTAAGAAGTAAGGAAATTGCAAAACTTGCCTATCTACTCAGCAGGGAAATTCAAACAGTGCCAGAAGTAGGCAGAGCATGATCCCCCCTGGTCTGTGCATTTGGGGAAGTAAGAGGGGAAATCAGGAGATCTGCATCTCCTCACCCTCCAACAAATATTGTGGCGACCGGTTGCCCTGGTCCTCTGGGAATCTATGTGCTGTGAAGGGGAAGAAATCAACGTGATGATGTTGGTGCACGAGACAAAAAGCACAGATCACTTCAAATGGCCAACAGGCACGTTCTTTGTTCCAAAGGTCATGAAAGAGAATGAAACCAGGCTCCCCCGTGTATATGTGCTCACGTGAAGACTCTTGTTCGACACTCAGCGTACCTTGAAATCCAAGATCTTCCCAGTGGGCTCCATAACGGGCACAATCAAACCGGGAGCCAGTGAGTTTCTTGTAAACAGTTTGCAAGATCCTCATGTGCACTTTTTCATTATTATCCAAACCACCTGTACAGGGAAAGGCCCATTAGGTTCTCTATGTAACTGAGAACAAGATAGTTGACCTATCACTTTGTTGTTTGTACGTACACTGAGAGCTTATGAACCAGAGGCAAATTCCTTGTGTGTCCAATCATACCTGGCCAGTAAAGAATATTCTGTTCTGTTCTGTTCTATTCTGTTCTATTCTATTTCTATTCTATTTCTCTTCTCTTCTCTTCTATTTCTATTCTATTCTATTCCTATTCTATTTCTATTCCCTATTCTATTTTTATTCTATTCTATTTCTATTCTATTCTATTCTATTCTATTCTATTCTATTCTATTCTATTCTATTCTATTCTATTCTATTCTATTCCCTATTCTATTTTTATTCTATTCTATTGTTGTTTGTATGTACACTGAGAGCTATGAATCAGAGGCAAATTCCTTGTGTGTCCAATCATACTTGGTCAGTAAAGAATATTCTGTTCTGTTCTGTTCTATTCTATTCTATTCTATTCTATTTCCTATTCTATTCTATTTCCTATTCTATTTTATTCTATTCTATTCTATTTCCTATTCTATTCTATTCTATTCTATTCTAGTCTAGTCTAGTCTAGTCTAGTCTAGTCTAGACTAGTCTTCTTATTCTTATTCTTACCCTGCCCTACCCTACCCTTCCCTTCCCTATTCCCTATTCCCTACCATTCCATTCTTTACTTTGGGGTCCTCAGTGCTCTCTGCGCTTAGTTGTTTTCTTGCAGGCATTTCATTATCCAACCAGGTAACATCTTCAGACCACTAATTGGGTAATGAAACCTCTGCAAGAAAATTATCAAGCTGAGAGAGCACCAAGAACTCCACAGTTCAAATATTCTTTTCAATATTGGCTTCATTTACTTCATACTTCCTAAGGCCCAAATAAGTCCTCCAGCTTCTCTGCTTAAAGATCCCAGAAAGCATGGAGAATCTGCCTAAGCTCTATGATGACCTTCTGACAGTTAAAACAGACCGTGCCAAGGCAGCTGGAACAAAATGGGATCAACATCACTTTCTCGGTCTTTGTAGAAATGGACAAAGCAACCATTGATTTTTTTTTTTTTACATTTTAAATTTTTATTCTGTTTTTCATTAAAAGTAATCCCCCAACACCGGATATAGTGTAATGAAACAAATCCATAAAAAACTATACCATACAGGTAGTCCTCAACTTACAACAGTTCCTTTAGTGACCATTCAAAATTACAGCAGCGCTGAAAAAAAAAAGTGACATACGACCATTTTTCACAGTTGCGACCTTGGTCGCGTGATCAAAAATCATGTGCTGGGCCACTGACTCATATGTATGACGGTTGCAGTTTCCCAAGGTCAGGTGACCCCCTTCCGCGACCTTCTGGCAAGTAAAGTCAATGGGGATGCCAGAGTCACTTAACAACCGGGTTACTAATGTATCAACTGGGATGATTCCCTTAAGAAGTGTGGCTAGAAAGGCCGTAAAATCAGGCAAAACTCCCTTAACAAATGTCGCACTTAACGACAGAAATGTTGGACTCAGTTGCGGCCGTACGTTGAGGACTACCTGCACTGAAAACCAAAATGAAACGGATCACAAGACTTAAGGACTCCGAGACTCCTACCGCTGCATTAACCACAGCGGACAGCAATGTTTTGACCGACTTTTGGCAGACTTTTCTAGTGGCCCCTGAACTTGAACTGCTGATTAGAGGCAGTAAGGAAGTTGCTGTAAAACTATTGCTCGCTAATTAACAACAGAGCCCTTGGGGAGAGGCTTGCTTTCATTTTCAGAGGCAATACTCACACTGGGCAATGGCCAAAGCTAAGTCTCTCTCACTCTGCAGCTGTTGCTGAAGGCGGGGAGGACCAAAAAGGAAATGGGCCATCGCAGCCAGGCCTCTTCTTTGGATGGTTGGCCGAATCTTTTTCTGGAAGAAGCGAAAATTAAAGGTAGAAAGACATGCAGGTGTTAAAAACAGGTCCCTTAGCAAAGCCACAGGGAAAAGAGCAATGCAAGGGCATCATTGCCAAGTGGCAGGGAAGCTGTACGAAGAACTTGTAGGAGAGATAACAGAACAACAGAGTTGGAAGGGATCTTGGAGGTCTTCTAGTCCAACCCCCTGCACAAGCAGGAGACCCAACATCACTTCAGACAAATGATTGTCGATTCTCTTCTTTAAAAAACTCCAGTGCTGGAGCACCCACAACTTCTGGAGGCAGGCTGTTCCACTGGTTTATTGTTCTGTCAGGAAATTTCTCCTTAGTTCTAGGTTGCTTCTCTCCCTGATTAGTTTCCATCCATTGTTTCTTGTCCTGCCTTCACGTGCAGCATACAAATTTAATAAATAAAAAAAAATAAGATCCACTATAGTCTCTGAAGAAAAAGAACTTCTTTTGAGAGGTGTTACTATCGGAGTTACATAAGACTGAGAACGAAAGGGGCTTGCAGCTACTTCTACCAGCTATGTCACTTTGGATCCTGGCCGAGTTAGACATCCACTCATTAGGGAACTACTTAGGGATAGAATCAAGATCATGTGAAGTGTTAATACCACTTTACAAGGCCTTGGTAAGGCCACACTTGGAATACCGCATCCAGTTTTGGTCACCACGATGTCAAAAAGATGTTGAGACTCTAGAAAGAGTACAGAGAAGAGCAACAAAGATGATTAGGGGTTGGAGGCTAAAACATGTAAGAAACAGTTGCTAGAATTGGGTATGTCTAGTTTAATGAAGAGAAGGACGAGGGGGGACATGATAGCAGAGTTCCAGTATCTCAGGGGCTGCCACAAAGAAGAGGGAGTCAAGCTATTCTCCAAAGCGCCTTAGGGCAAGACAAGAAGCAACAGATGGAAACTAACTAAAGAGAGAAGCAACCTAAAACTAAGGAGAAACTTCCTGACAGTTAGAACAATTAACCAGTGGAACAGCCTGCCTCCGGAAGCTGTGAATGCTCCAACACTGGAAGTCTTTAAGAAGAGATTGGACAGTCATTTGTCTGAAAGGGTATAGGGTTTCCTGCCTGAGCAGGGGGTTGGACTAGATGACCTCCAAGGTCTCTTCCAACATCATCATCATTATTACTGCAAGTCATATGAATGTATTCATTGCTGTCCTAAGGACCACAAAGGAACTGTCTTCAATCCCTAAAATATTTAAGGAGTAGGACAGTGGCGTCCATCCTAGATGGCCCATACCCAGTGGTGGGACTAAAATATGTGAACAACCGGTTCTCTGTGTGGATGCCGCTTCCAGAAGTCCATTCTGGGCCTGGGCAACAAAAAATTAGCTACGGTTCTGCTGAAGTGGTGCAAACCGGCTGAATCCCACTACTGACCATACTTACCCTACAGTCTGACAGGTCTGCTGTTTGGAAATACTGCAGGGCTTCATTGAAAGCGATTGAGGGAACCGGGCCAAGGGGTTTCTCCACAGTGCCTGCAAGCAAAGGAAAAGGATTGGATTCTGACATCCCTGTTCCTTCCAGCAGAAGAACAAAGCATCCTACCGTATTGAGGGGAGAAAAGTTGAGCCACAAATGCGGTTGTGTTTGAATTTTCCAAACTGGAATAGCTCATGATCAATACAGGTAGCCCTGGGCTTACGGCCACAATTGGGAGCAGACTTTTTCACTGCTAAGCGAGGCCCTTGCTAAGGGAGCGACCCTCCATTTTATGACCTTTTTGGAGCGTTGAGTGAATCGCCGCAGTTGCTAAGTGAATCACAAGGTCGTTAAGCAAATCCAGCTCCTCCCTTTGACTTTGCATGTCGGGAGCTGGCTGGAAAGGTCACAAATGAGGATCATGCGACTCCAGGAGGCTACAACTGTTGTAAATGCACACTGGGTTGCCAAGCGGTTGAATTTTGATTGTGTGACCACAGGGGATGCTTCAACGGTTGTTAAGTGTGAGGATCTGTCATAAGTCAATGTTTTCAGCGCCACTGTAATTTTGAATGATGGCTGAACAAATGACTGTATGTTGAGGACTACCTGGATAATTCAAAATACACATCAAGTATTGATGGGAAACCTTAATTGTCTCTCTATATACACATACAAAGTTGGGCCATAAGAAAGGCTAAGCGCAAAAGAATTGAGGCCTTTGAACTCTGGTGCTGGAGAAGACTCTTGCGAGTCCCCTGGACTGCAAGGCGATCCAACCGGTCAGTCCTAGAGGAGATCAACCCCGACTGCTCTTTAGAAGGCCAGATCCTGAAGTTGAAACTCAAGTACTTTGGCCACCTAATGAGAAGGAAGGACTCCCTGGAGAAGAATCTAATGCTGGGAAAGATGGAGGGCAAGAGAAGAAGGGGATGACAGAGAATGAGGTGGCTGGATGGAGTCACTGAAGCAGTAGGCGTGAACTTAAATGGTAGAGGACAGGAAGGCCTAGAGGAACATTGTCCATGGGGTCGCGATAGGTTAGACACGACTTCGCAACAACATACACATACACATCCTATTTATACCATGGTTTTTAAAGTATAACTTTGTTTACGGTTTTTTTTTCATCTTTATTATTTTTATTGCCTTGTTTAGGGGTAGTTTTCTTGTTGAGTATCCTTTTTCTACTCCATCCTGCACTCCTTCCCAGACTGAGCAATATCAAAATAAGTCAATTAGACATGCACACAAACTGGTGGACTTTGTATTATGTGCGGCCATCCGTAATGCTAGCATTGTGGCAGGTAGCACAATTAAAATTCAACTCAGAACAGATCCCAGAATGGAGTAAAATGAGACAGTACTTATTTTCCATACCTCCCGGATGGATGCTTGCTATGTTGTCCCATTCTTCACGGGCTCGTAGTACCTCCTCTGAAATATCTAGTAAGAGGAAAAACAAGATGACACACCAGAGTAGCTACACGCTCGAGAATCACTTACAAAGCAGTTCATTTAAAAGGCCTGGAAGATAATTCCATTTCTTTTAAAGGTAAAAAATCTAGGTGTAATTTTACAGAGGAATTACTGAGTCTGTTATGTGTACTTCTATAACTGTCTGGTTTGGTACAGTAACCAAAGAGGACAGGTATAAGCACCATCAGAGTTAAGCCTGGAGAAAGAACAACTGCAATCAGCCTACCTTCCATAGAAGACCTGTATACTGTATGGGTCAGAAGGAAGGCTGCGAAAATATCTACAGACCCCTGAAATCCTAGAGGGAAGTGAGGGGGTCTATAGATTAACTATCTCAACCCCTCCCCTTAGGATGGCGATTTAGGGAATTGCATGCCAAAATAACTAGACACAAAGACAATTCCCCCCCCCCCCCCGTGCCATCACCGTGCTGAACATTCAATTCTCTCAGTGCTGCTTAATGTCTCTTACCCTATGTAGCATGGCTGTAGTATTATTATTTATCCTTATTTTCTTTTTTATTCCTCCTTTTATTGGCTTTATTGTTCTGTTGCTTTGCATGTCCACTGAGTGCTTTTGTACCAGAGATAAATTCTTTGTATGTCTAATCACAATTGGCCAAATAAAGTATTCGTTTCAATTCAATTCATCTCCAGGCACTATGCAGCAGCTCCATTTTATTCTTCTAAATGGGAAATTGTAGAGGTGGATTTTAAAACAGAAAGCATCTGAAACTGACAAGTGGAAATAATACTAACTGTGAAAACCCTAACCCAGTTGTAGGCAACCTTGGCTCTTTGATGATTCGTGGACTTCAACTCCCGGGAATTCCTGAGCCAGCCGTGCTGAGGGGAAAGGGAGAGGTTTTCAAGCTGAACCATGCTTGCTCAGGAATTCTGGGAGTTGAAGTCCACAAGTCATAAAAGAGCCAAGGTTACCTATCCCTGCCCTAACCTTTCCAGGTAAATGGCTACTACTGGTTAGGAGGGAACGAGGGATTTCAAGAGTGGCTTGGAAACTGTCACAGAATGTTGAAAATGAAGATCTCATGACCACAACAAAAGCATAGCAACAATGAAGCAGCCACAACTTCCCCAAATTTCATTCCCTTAGAAGTCATGGGTCCCAGATTTGGGGCACATTCTGCAATTTAGCCTATCTGAGGTACTTTGGCTCAACAACTGTGGCCCTATGATGTGCTGTTTTGCCTAGCTAAAGCTGACGACAATGAGAGTTTTAGTAGTATACAGATTTTTATGTACCTAAAATCCACCTCTTTATAATTAATGTCATTTTTAAGAGCACCATAAAAACCATAACTCTGCCTGTCAGCTAATCGCAATTCAACCTTTACTGACTTTCATGAAGAATTTCAAGGAGCATCTGACTCTAGACCCCGTTATAAATGAGAAGCAGATGAAGCAACTTAAATTTCTGGGAGATCTAAAACCGTCTTCTCAGTGACTTCAAAGGTGCTTTATCTGCCACAGTTCCTTAGAAGTAGAGTACAAACCAGCTTCAAAGACGAGGCTTGAAGTACGCTTTACATGCAGAGTCACACCAATTTTTTCCAGTAAAGTTAGAACAAGTCCTTTTGAAAGTGAATTGTTTTGCAAGTCTCTGCTCTTCAGTGTTTCACATCATCCAAAATGCAACAGAATCCAAGAAGCAATAGCTACATTTCTCCTGATATTCAGGGGGCTGAATGACAATAGTCTCCTAACAAGGCCTCAGCTCTGGGCCTTGTATTAGGGTGATTGGGGTTCTTGTCGGATATGTTTGATCATGTGGATGTCGTTAGCCAAACTCACCATCTGTTCTTCTTCTTTGTTCCTTTTCTTTTTATACTCTTTGTTATATTAATTTTCAACTTCGTTTGCTTTTATTGTATACCATCCAGAGTCAGTTTGGTATTGGGCGGTGCCTAAACTGAATAAATTAAAAAAATTAATCGGATCTTTACCTGATTCCTTAAAATCATTGGGTGTTGCTGATAGAGACTGGAGCAGTCCATTCTGTTTCAATGCAGAAATCTGAAACAGACAGAGAAAGGTGGGGATTCTAAGGTTGCAAAGCAGGATGTTGTCAGGCATGAAGAATTAGATCTACATGTTAAATTCCAGTTAAGCTGATTTATTGCTCATGTCTATACACCAGAATCTAGTCAACTAACATTCAGCATGAAACTGGTGCTAAGATAAGACTTAATGGAATTCAAGAGGGATTGGACTTAAAATGGCTTGAAGGAATGTAAGGACTCCAGGCTGATTCCTCTCTTGATTCTATCCCCAGGCTCTGCCTCTCCTTCTGCTAGGGATGTGAAGAACCCATAGGCAACCTTTTCATAACTTCTCTGAGGCCAATATCTCATAAAGTGATTTTGTGTCACTGATTCAGAGCTCGTAACATCCCAAATTTTTCTGTCAATGCACATTTTTAGTAAGAACTGAAAAGTCACAAAGCAACCCTGTTGCTTAGATTAACCTGTTTAATTGTTACTATAATCACCCAGTGTGCTTCATACAAGGTTAACACCACTACAGTTTGTCTCAATTTGCCTGATTTTCTGGCTTTACCCACCAAGCAAAAGTTTCTTGGTCGTTTTAAGATGGGTGGACTTCAACTCACAGAATTCCTCAGCCAGCATGGAATCAAACATGGACCCTCAAAATTTCAACAAAGGGTTTGCATACAGCATAGGAAAGCCTAAACTACATGTAAAGATAAGCACCATCATATTAAAAGGTTTTTTTTCACAGTAAGCAAAAATATAAACCTGATGAAATTATGTTTCTGTCACAGAGGATTAAAAACTGGAGATATGAGTGAAGAAATAAGAGCTGTTTGGCTCAAGTCCCCAGCAGTTAATATCTGTACTCTGTAGAAAGGAAATTGAACAATTTCCTCTTTTAAAGGAACAAGCAGACAAAAAAAAAGCTGTTATTTCCTTTCTTTCCACAATGTTACATTGAACAAAACAGGCAGTTTCAGATTTGATAACTTATTCCTGAGGTTTTTTTTTTTTAGAGTTTTATGAGTGAAATAAGATTATGGAAAATCCCTCAAACTCTATTTCTTGCTGTCATTTGAGCAAGAGAAACTGTTGTACATTTGCATAATATTTAGATTTAAGAAAAAGACTGCATACAGGTCCACAAACTGTGGTTAAATCCTGAGAAACGTGAATGCAAGTTGGTTCTCGTAATGCAGTGTAAAGCCTGTTCAGACACTACTTGTGAACATTCCCCAATAATGTTGTTTCCTAAACTTACACCCGCAGTCTGCTCTAACCCCCAATGATCCTAGAATGTGAGGAAAGACAGTTAGAACTTAGTGACCAGTATACTCACGTGCACAGCTTTGTAAACTGGATAGGTAATTGTTTGTGTTTCACGCTGGCAGTTGTTTATGCTGCACTGGTTCATCCCCTAATGGAAACAATGAAATCAGAGTCACCAGGGAGGGCAAGTTCATTTCTCAAATCTCAAACAAGAGAACAAGAAACTCAACTACATGAAGCACAGAACTGCCTGCATTAATTGCAACTGAGCGTTATCCATTTCTTCCCCATAATCATGGACGGTGTGATTCCGGAATTACTGCTAGGTAAAAATATGTTCCATATTCTCTTCCAATTATTATGGAATCTTCCATATTCCCTCCCACAAGAGGCTCACCAACTTCCATGCCCTTTTTGGGGCAAAAAACAGCAAGACCTCCCAATTGCACCCTGATTCAGGTGACCCTGAGGTCCCAGATGAACCCAAGTGGCCTCAAACAGTTCTCAGGTAGAATGCTAACGATCAGATGACTGCAAAGAAATTCAATCCTTCCATCCATCCCTATCAGAACCTATCCTTCCATCTCCCAGAAGTGATGAACCAAGCTTCTAGTCCTTCTCCTTTTCCTTCTTCTCCTTCTTCAAAAAAAAAAAAAAAAAAAAACAGTCCAATTGCCATTTGAAGGAAAAAGCACCTTTGAGACAACTATAACCTGGATGACTGAAAATCTCCACAGACAGCAGGACCCAAGTTCTAATTTGGACATGCATTTGAATATTCTTTGGGTTTGGGGGTTTGTTTGTTTGTTTGCAAAAGTCGAGCAGCTGCAGCTTTCTACGCCCACCAACACAACTTCCATTTGCCCTGGCTTGAAGCAGGAGGTCGCAAAGCGAGTCCTAAGAAGGAACTCCACCCCTGGGGCTTGGGGAACCTGTCCAGGTTGCCAGAATGTCCCTTGAGTGGTGAGGCATCTAAACTACAGCCTGGAGGCCAATGGATGTTTACTGTTATGCTGCAGAAGGCCAGAAGCGATTAAGAGGGGAAGAAAAGGTGCAAAGGATGAATGTATGCCGGTAACCCAGCTTGGTCTCTGGTGGAAGCCCCTTTGCAGGTGGAGAAAAGATTTTAACCCTCCCTGAAACCCACTCCCACCTCCTTCTCTTAAGTCCACAATTCGTGGGGTTTTTTTTTTTCAAAAAAGACTCACCTTTTACAGTTCCTTCTACAAAGCCATCTGATCACGACAGAATCCGCCACCCCACCCCCAATTAAAGCACCATTCCCACGACCTCCTGCTCCAGAGGGGCTTTCTTTCTGCCCTCTCTCAACAGCCCCCCCTGCGCTGTGGACCCCCAACTCACTAAGCCTTAAGCCTAAATCTTCTCGCCACACCAGCCGGCTGCCCAGGCTCGCTTCCTCCCTGTGCACGCATCTGCAGACACGTGTCAACATGTTCCCACACTCCCCGTGCCGCTGCTCTTCCCACGGCTCTCCCCAGAGCCCCCTGCTGCCTTTCTCCCCCTCCTCACGCACCCACGGAGGTGTCATTCCTGAACAGTTGGACCGAACCCGACTTTTAACTCCGCCGTTTTTCCTCCAACCTGGGTTCTGTTGCTAACATTCCCTCCCCCGCTCGTGACGCCCACAGGAGCCAAAAGCGCAGGCGCGCCGCTTTGCATGCTGGGAAGTGTAGTCCCAGCTTAGTTCGGGACTGGAAGGCTCGCTCCGAGTGCGGCGTTTGCTCTGCTCGGGGGCAAAGGCACCACTCGGAAAGAAAATATGGCATAAAGCAAGGGGCTGGGGCGTCTGGAGCATGCATGAGACTTAAACGGGTTTGCACCGAAGTGATTCCCATTGAGTCCAAACCTCGTCTTAATAAGCCCCAGGAGAGTTTTAGGGAAGGAAGGAAGGAAGGAAGGAAGGAAGGAAGGAAGGAAGGAAGGAAGGAAGAGAAGCGAAACACTTTCAAAGAAGAAAAAAACAAAGTCTAGTTGCCTTTTGGAAAAAAGCATCTTTGGGAATAGCTGATCCTTTGGATTGTCTGCAGTCAGATATCTCCCAATTCATCTGGAAGATTTTCTGCTTGTTCAAAAGTGGCACTGGCTAGAGATTGGGAGGTCTTCTGCCAGGAAACAGAGGAAGATTCTGTTTTTCTTCATTCTGATGTTTCTCTGATTAGCTCTCGCCCCGATAGCTTTATGCTACATCTGAGCCCATTCCATCAACGCTTGTCAGAAACAAAGCAGGACTTGATTTTAAATCCATATTTTGGGGGGGTCTCACGGAGTGAGGGCAACCTGCCTAGAACTGGGCTGCTAAGGGACATGTGGAGTGTTTTGTGAAATGCCCACAATTTGGCTTGCAAATTGAATTTTGCAGAGGCACCTCTGCTGACAGCCCTGGGACTGAGATCAAGTATTCTGCAAGGCCAAATTAGAGCTGGCCTTTTTGCTTACAGTGAATGTAAATGTAAGCAATAAATAAAGCCTCGTGATTTAATACAGCGATGAACCCAGACTGAAGAATATAAACTGGTCTAAGATGTAAAAAGGTGATGCATTTTTCTATTTAAAGCCTTCACGTGCTGCTGATCTATGAGCAGGCTTCTGAAACAGATAACCATGAAAAGAAATAGTCCGTCCATACATGCACAGTGCAAAAAAATAAAAGGCACAAAATCCTGTGTTCAAATGGTTGTATATGAGAAAATAATGCAGCATAATATATTTATAAATCTAACTCTACCAGTAGTCCTTGACTTACAACAGTTCAGTTAGTGACTGTTCAAAGATACAACAGCACTGAAAAAACTTGACTTATGACCATTTTTCACACAACAGCCCTGTGGTCGTGTTATCAACACTCAGATGCTTGGCAACTGACTCATATTCATGACGGTTGCAGTGTCCTGGAGTCACGTGATCTCCTTTTGCGACCTTTTGACAAGCAAAGTCAATATGGAAAGTCAGATTCACTTAACCGTGTTACTAACTTAACTGCAATGATTCAGTTAATAACTGTGGCAAGCAAGGTCGTAAAACGAGGCAAAACTCACTTAACAAATGTCTCACTTTGGAACAGAAATTTTGGGCTCAATGGTAGTCGTAAGTCCAGAATTACCTGTACTTACCTGTACTTAGATCCACTATTAGGGGACAAATTCACTTGCTAATTCTAACAGACTATCTCACAAACTTTAGTTAAACTATTCCCGAGAGACAGCAATTCATTTTAAAGAGAAACCTCAATTTAGAAACAATTTAAATTATTTTCTCCTCTTGGAAGCAAAACCGTCTGCTACTGTAATCTTCTGTATTTTCACTCTATTAATTAATTAAACAAAGCAAGCCTGCTTCCATAAAAGGAAAATTTCATGAGGAAATCTCTCTGGTGGACTTTTCTCAATTTCTGATAAGTAAGGGAGGGAGGGAGGGAAGGAGGGAGGGAGGGGGGAAGACTAGAGAGTGGTAGACATAAAGGTACACCAGGGGTCTTCAAACTGGGCAACTTTAAGACTTGTGGACTTCAACTCCCAAAATTCCTCAGCCAGTCAGGAATTCTGGGAATTGAAGTCCACAAGTCTTAAAGCTGCCCACTTTGAAGACCCCTAGGGTACACTAACAGGAAACAACTCTGATAAGGAAAGAGAGAACTGATGATGTTACCTAGTTGGGTATTGAAACATTTGCAAGATAACATTCATGCTTCAGAGAGCACCAAGGACCTCTCAGAGGAGAGAGAAAGATGCATCTTAATCATTGTGTTTATTTTAAACACCATTTAAAACAACGATTTAAAAATTGTTTTTGGGATATTTGTTTCATTAACTGCAGTGGACTTTCCAGATTGGAAGACCAGTTTCACTATAATATTACTGAATAAGCGAAACACAAATCGCAAAGCAAAATGTGACACATTTCATGTATGAATTGCATGCCTGGGAAAGATCAATGTTTGTAATGTTATCTGTCTAATCAAGCAGGAGGTGAATTTTCATTCCCCGCCCTGAGTGCTGAATCATAAAGAGTTCAGAAGGGCACATATAAACCTATATATGTGCACACATGCAATTCCATCAGGAGATTCCTCAGGCATGGCTTGCCCTAGAAGGAACCGAGCTGTAATCATTGTCAACTATCAATTCCTCCAAGCCAAAGAAAGACTTAAATCAAGATTGGGGGCCAGAAGAGAAGCAGACAAGCTTTTTAAAGCACTTTCCAACTGCAATTATGATGTGAAAATATTTCTGGATTTGACAGCCAAACAAATAGAAGAAGTGTATGAGGAAGGTATGTTTGGGAGGAAGGCAACTAAGATCTTCAGAACGGTGCACCTTAAAAGTCTTCCATGGAACTGTTGGAAAGCTTGCGGGAGCCTCCAAAATTTTGTTCCACTATTCATCAGAAAGATCTGAGCTGCCGGGAAGGGTGGCGAGGACTTAGACTAAATGGACAGCGGGATTATATACTTAGGTTGTATATAACCCCACTGATTATGATTCAAATATATATATCATAATCAGTGGGGTTATATATAACCTAAATGTGTATGTGTGTGTATATATATATACACACACACACACACACACACACACACAGATAGACAGATAGATATATGTCATTTTTACTAGGTCTTTGCTGATGAATGATGGTGATAATAATAATAATAATAAAGTTGGAAGGGACCTTGGAGGTAATCTAGTCCAACCTCCTGCTCAGGCAGGAAACCCTGTACCATTTCGGACAAATGGCTGTCCAGTCTCATCTTAAAAATTTCCAGTGTTGGAGCATTCACCGCTTCTGGAGGCAGGTTGTTCCACTGGTTAATTGTTCTCACTGTCAGGAAGTTTCTCCTTAGTTCTAGGTTGCTTCTCTCCTTGGTTAGTTTCCACCCATTGCTTCTCGTCCTGCCTTCAGGAGAATAGTTTGACTCCCTCTTCTTTGTGGTGATGATGATAATGATGATGCTTGAGAGACAAGTTTATAGAAAATGGGGTGAGGTATGGAAGGAAGAAGTACCTGGTTGTATTTTAAGAGACAGTGATAAGCTGTTAATGTTGAATGTTCTTGTTCGAGATGAAGAGAGAACTTTCTTTTTCTTATTATCTTTGGGGAAGGATATTTTTCCCCACTTTTTCATATGTAGGTACTGTATGTAGGTATGCATTGTTTTTGTTTTTTTTTGTATTACCTTTATCTCAGTCCTCCAGGTCAAGGTTGTACCAAAGGGACTTTTTCAAGAGGCAACTGGACTTTGTTTTTTTTCCCTTGAAGACAGTTTTGCTTTTCATCCAAGAAGCTTCAGTCAGTCTTCAAGGAAAAACAAAGAAAGTTCAGTTGCCTCTTGAAAAAACACCTTTGGGACTTGATCTGTTTAATATAATCCTTAACAACATTATAGGAAAAGAGAGAGAAATGTGTGACGTGCAAGGGCATCCAGAGAGTGGGAGCATTGGATTTTATAATCTTCTCCACCATCTGAATTGTTTGGATCCTCTCTATAGAGGCCTCCAACTCTGGAGGGCAAGCCTGAGACCTGGATGGGCATCTGGAGGCTGTAACCTTTAGCCAAACATTAATAGACTATTCCTGTTAGTGAGAGATAGTTAGAAAAGTGCCTTGGAAGATGCCCATTGTTACTGAGCAGCCATGGGTTAGGGATACTAGTTAGTTGCAATGTCACTACAGATCCCTGAATGCAATGGAGTGTAGTAGTCCCTTTCTTCTTCTTCTTATGCCATATCCGTTATCGGACGTTGGCGATCATGTTGGCGATCCTGCTTTTATCAGCAGCCGCACGAAAAAGTGCTGCTGAGTTTTGTCCAAACCAGTCCTTAGATTTTGAAGCCACGATGTTCTTCTGCCTGGACCTCATTTGCCTTCAATCTTTCCCTGGAGGATTAAATGGAGTATGTCGTATTTTTCTGGGTGTCGCACCACATGTCCGAAATATCCTAATTTTCATTTTTTAATTGTTTTGATCATTTCCCTTGGCTTTCCCAGGCAATTTATCACTTCCTCATTTCTGATCTTGTCAACCCAGCTTACACGTAACAGCCGCCTGTAAATCCACATTTCTAATGCTTCTAGTCTCTTCAGGTGGCCTTCTGTCAAAGACCAACTCTCTACTCCATAGAGCAGGATAGAAAAAACATAGCATCTGACAAGCCTGATTTTCAGTCTTAGGCTTATATTGTGACTGCAGAAGACCTTTTTCATTTTGAAGAATGCTGTTCGAGCTTTCTCTGTCCTTTCCATCACCTAAATAGTAGATGACTTGTTGCAGAGCATGAAATAATAGGGTTGGTAGGGTCTTCTACTCCAACCCCCTCCTCAAACATGTTTCCACTGGAGATTATGTCATCTCTCTGCTCCTATGAGTAATTGTGGAACAATGAGAAGGTGAAGAGAATTGAAACAGTTCCTGTTTCCGTTTCTCACTTGACCTCTTGTTAAATGAATATCTGTGTTTCAATAAAAAAAGTATTTTTTCTCACTCTCTCTCTCTCATGCTTCCTGTCAAGATGTAACAGGAATAGATGTATAATATTTCGTAAGAAATCTAGCTTTCAGTTCAAAGATGTCTGCTCTACATCTGAGAACAATTATATTCTGAGCACTTTATACACTTTTAATAGGAGTTTCTGATCCTTGTTTACTCAGTATTCTTTGAGCACTTTATATATGTTCTGGAGCCCATCCTTCAACAAGACCTCCTTGGTCAATTCAGTTGGTCAGGGGTAGTGTCTTGCTGCTTTAGAGATAGGTGTGGAAATGCAAGGCTGATTTATGGAAATTAGGCTGACAGTTTGAAGCAGCATTTTTCTAGCCTCAGCAACTTTAAGATGGGTGGACTTCAACCCCCAGAATTCCTTTGTCAGCATACTGCCTGGAGAATTCTGGAAATTGAAATCCACCTATTTTAAAAGTTTCTGAGGTTGAGAAACGCTGAACTGGAGAGAAGGCCTTCAAAGAAGAACTCAACGGTCTTCTAGAAACATCCCCAGGAGACCCTGCCTAGCTTCTGAACTTAAAACAGGTTACACAACGGAAGTATGATTGCAGTGGTTTTGTGGCTGGAATTCTGTGGAATGCAAATGAGCAAAGAGCCCGAGATCAGATGAAACAGATTCAGGATATATTCCTAAAATCCCAGAATGCGATTAGACTCCACATCAGACCTGTTGACTAATTTTCCCATTTACTAACTTTATACAATATACTGAAGCATAAACATAGTGTGGTCAGAGTTTACAAACACACACTTCCAGTCAAGTTTAAAACTAACCCGATTTAGAACGTTGAAGATATGAGGCAATTACGTTGTGTGAATAGAGCCACTGGGCAGTTGCATTGATATAGAACAGGGGTCTTCAAACTTGGCAACTTTAAAACTTGTAGAGTTCAACTCCCAGAATTCCTCAGCCAGCCCGGGCTGGCTGAGGAATTCTGGGAGTTGAAGTCCACAAGTCTTAAAGTTGCCAAGTTTGAAGATCCCTGATATGGAAGGGGGACCTTTACGACTCAGTTCCAAAATTCTGACACTCGGATCCCCTCCATGATCACATGACCGAACCTCAGGCACCCTGGGGCCATATTTATTTCCATTTGCAGTGTTCCCCCGTCATATGATTCGTTTTACAACGGTTTTGCACTTCTGGATTTCAGCAAAACCATGCCCCTAGCGAATTATTAGTTTGCTTCGTGATCATGGTTTTTGCTTAACATCTACTGCAAAAAAAAAAAAAAATCATAAAATCACTTTGGTCACATAAACAGCCCATTTTGCAATCGTCATGACAGATGACCATAGTGAGCAAACTCCTATGCTGAGGACTATCTGGGTGTTGCCGTTGTTTAATGAGTTGAATTTATTTCCCACTTACAGGAACTCAAGGCAACCTACCAGTATGTAGCCTTCCTTCCTCCAGTTTTACCTCACAATAGCCATATGTTATAGGTTGGGCTGAGAGTGACTGGCCTCAAATCCCTCAGGGACTTTCTGTGGCTGAGAGTAAATCTGAAGCTTAGACAATGCCCCCCACCCAGTAGTGGGATTTAGCCAATTCGCACCAGTTCGGCAGAACCGGTAGCTAACTTTTTGTTGCCCAGACCTGGAATGGATTTCCGGAAGCGGCATCCACACAGAGAACCGGTTGTTCACCTATTGGAATCCCACCATTTCCCCCACCGTACTTTTGGTCCTCAGTAAGAGTATGCTTCAAGGTGGATTAGGTGTCATTTTGTATATTTGATTGAGAGGCAAGCTTTGCGTTTGAATCACAAGACGCTTCAAAAAAAAAATAATAATAATCACCTTAGTACCTGTCTTTTCCTTAAACTATGTCTTTGCAGAAAGCCAGGCAGAACATGGGAAATATTTTGTGAGCATCCTTTCAAGCCACGGAGAAGAAGGCAGCATAACGGACTGCCAAGGACAAGCAGTAAAGCTAACTCGCATTTATAAGATCTTATCTCCCGAAAGGTGTCCATATTTGGTCGGAAAGCCCAAAATCTTCTTCATACAGGTAAGAGCTGTGGGGAGCCGATGTCAGGTTCCAAAGAGAAGCAGTGAGGAACAGGAAATTCAGTCGGTCTTTTTTTTTATCCCATAGGATGGGGGTCTCCAATCGTGGCAACTTTAAGACTTGTGGACTTCAGTTCCCAGAATTCTGGGAGTTGACGTCCACAAGTCTTAAAGTTGCCAAGGTTGGAGACCCCCACCCTATAGGATTCCCAGCTATCTGGACCCACACATGTGAGAAGCCCATCCCTCACAATGTTTCTGAGGACTACATTGAAGGCAGCCTGGGGTAGCAATGCGGGAAGACCATTGTTGTTGCAAAGAGTTAGTGACATATTTTGATTTCTCCCTCATATTAAGTACAGGTAGACATCGATTTACAATACTTTGTTTAGTGACCATTAGAAGGTACATCATCATTGAAAAAAAATGACCGATTTTCACACTTACAGCCATTGCAGCATCCCCACGGTTACGCGATCAAAATTCAGACATTTGGCAACTGACTCATATTTATGACGGCCGCAGTGTCCGGAGATCATTTGATCCCCTTTTGTAACCTTCTGACAAGCAAAGTCAATGCCATTTGCCAAGCGTCTGAATGGTCATAAGTGTGAAAAATGGTCATAGGTTGCTTTTTTTCCCATGCCGGTGTAACCTCGGACGTTCACTAAATGAACTGTTGTAAGTCAAGGACTACCTGTAAAGATTCTTAAATTAAAAAAAAAAGTCAATTAAAATAAAACTAAGCAGGAAGGGGAGGGAGGGAGCACACAGGGAGAAGCGGGTGATAGCCTCTACTCCATTAGCCACCTCCAATAGGCCACCCGTCCATTAGGGCCCCAGGCTAGTTGGCATAGCCATGACTTCAAGGCCTTTCGTTTCAAAACGTAACAAGGTTTGGATAAGAACCATGGGGTTGTTGTTATACAGGGGAAGCTTCTGGAATGGACTCTATTGAAAAATTGGTCAACCATTAGGGTACCTCTGCTGTTGTTATTAACGAGCTCCTAGCATCCTATAAGAGATTTGGGTATCTTCCTTGATATGTATGCTTTTAACCTTATGTTTTTAACCAGGGGTCTTCAAACTTGGCCCTTTTATGACTTGTGGACTTCAACTCTCAGAATTCCTCAGCCAGGCACCCTGGCTGAGGAATTCTGGGAGCTGAAGTCCACAAGTCATAAAAGGGCCAAGTTTGAAGACCCCAGCTTTTAACTCTGTTTACTTGAGCTAATAATAAAGGTTAAATCCCTTTATTAACTGGTGTGCTTATTGTCTTTGGATCCCCCAAAACCCCAATTGCCTGGAACCCTGATCACTGACCTGACCCTTGGCAAAACACAGCTTTGCAAGAATTTCAAGACCGCTATGAAATCTTAGCACATAGAACATAGTCTTCCTTTGCACATGTCTCTCGTTTGCATGTATTTGAGGTTAGTAAGGGAAATAACCTCAACGAGATTAATAAATACAATAAAAAAAGTTTGACTTCATGACCCCAAGTTATGCAACCAAAAGCTGGCAACCTTCTCCACATACACATGACTTCTGGGTTTGCGAACAGGGTTTGCCCTCCACAATATGTACATTAGCAGTAAAAGCCCTCTTAAAAAAACAAATTACTCATTCAGGAAATAACAGTGTTTTTGATGCCACGTCTGGCATACTTGCATGACTCGGATGTTAAAAGGTAAAGCAGAACTAAGGTTCTACATTAGATTTATTGCATTTCCTGGAATCTTTACACAAGTGTAAAGTCCAGGCTTCGATTCAGTTATACTGATATATCCTCCAAAGGCAAATACGGGTTTTGCGAATCTGTGCAAGAGAAGAAAGGATGAAAAAAAATCCCTCTTCATTGCCTGGGCAAGCCCCTAATTCTCCAATCCTCCAGCTAATACTATTTCATTTATTTAATTATTTTTTAAAAAAAGTATGCAAGTTTAATGCAAACAGTTAACCTCATTCCTTCAGTTTAGCCCATTCAGATGAAAATGGCAGAGGAGTCACCTCTCACTCATGGCCTCCTAGAATAAGTCACAAGAAAGTCTGAAGTTGGTTTCTCGGGGTGTGGATCCAACAAACAAAGGGCTGTGCACAAAGGCTATTGAGCAGCTGTTGCCTTCAATGTGTTTTTCAGGCGTGCCGTGGAAATAGATTTGATGACGGCATCTACATAGAAACAGATAGTGGCGCGTCAGATGAAGACTGTTTTTTACATTACCTGTCTATTCCCGAAAATACTACTGTCATGTTTTCTTGCAGCCCAGGTATGTCGCCCTAACCACCTAAATCTAGTGTAGGTTAAGTTTGCAGCAAAGGTTATCAGATACAGTATCTCAAAGCAAATGCACCAGATTGGGTAGAATAACCCATTTGGGAGTTTGAAGAATTAAAAAAATAATAATAACCAGAGAACGTCCGGTTTGTTTGTGAGTCTTAATTAAGGGCACTCGGCCAAGAGAAACATTATAATTACGGATGGAGGCCAGTCCATCAGACCTTGTAATCTAATGTAACCATGGGGGTCTTATCAGTTAGTGGTACAGTCAGGAAGGACAGAAATCAGCAAAAATGTACGCAATAGGTTGAACTGATACTTGTAAAGAGGCAGCAACAAAATTTCTGGACAGTGAAAATCGGGAATTTCAGAAGCAACCCTTCTGTTCCAGATTTTCCCCCATCATTTCCTGTGTTGGGCTGATCTTGTCATGATTAAAGGACACAGGAAGAATAAACCAGGATGGTATGCTAAGAACAGTTACCAGTTGTTCTTTACAGAGAAGAGTTATATCTTTGGAAGCTGCCAACCTGTTCTTTGATTTTTTCAGGTTTCTGGAGAATCATTGCAATCCTTCCATGCAAATAGTACCGCACTTACGATTTAGAGCAGTTTTACAATTTCACCCAGCCTTTGTTAAAGGGATACAAAGCTCGTCCGTGCCATTATGATTTTGGCTTAACAATGGTTGGATGGCTCTTGAGGGTGCTTTCAGTCATGAGCAAAACCTAACGTGATATAAATGCCACAGGCCTCTAATTCTGGCCACAGAGAGTCCATATTTGCCCAGCAATTAAGTTTCCCGTGTAATGTGTTCACTTTATCCTTTCCTGGCTAGACTTCTCTAACATGTTTGCTTACTGTACTGTAAAAAAGTCCCGCTGGACTTTTGGCGTTCCTTATCTCACTCTTTCTCTTTCTCTTTCTGTCTCAATTGCTCAGGCTATGTTTCATTCAGCAATCAGTGGGAATCCATGTTCCTCAAAGCATTACTGGAAGTCCTAGAAGGAGAGAAAAGGAAAATGGAAATCACCCAACTCATGACTTGGATTAACTGGAAGATTGCTTTCTTTTGTGAAGCAAAAGGAAGTGAATACAAGGGCAAAAAGGAGATGCCCTGCTTTGTCACAAACATGGTGGAGGAGATTAAACCTTTCGAGCAAGACAGGGAATGCTCGGATTATCTAGATCACTGAAAGCCTACAGACACCCCCAAGTTGTTGGTTCATAACGCAGTTTGAGTTTTTACTTGCTGCATTTTGATCCAGCCAACTCTAATTTATTCAACCAGTCATGCTTACAGAACCCATAATTTATTGTTGTTTGAATGTGTCCGTTCGTATCAAGCGAGAAGAGAAACAGGATGGGGATACATAAAAAAAAGAAATGGTTTAAGAAATACACTCTTACAGGAAATAAAAATACGAGTCATAATAGCCACGTGGATATTATGCAACTTTGTATGTGAAGGGGAAAATGGAGCTGTGCATGTGTGTGTAAGCAGCTCCTTATAGCTATGGCTTTTGTGACAACACTAGGAAAAGGTGTGT